AGCTGGTTAATATATATTTTTGCTGCTGAATATTCGAAACAGAGTGATTAGGTTGGTACTACACATGTATACGGTTCTATTTTAAATGACTGCAGCGCTCCATTATGAAAACAAATTGTTTTAACGCCGCTCTCAGCAGTATTTCAGTGATATATGACGTCGGTCTGTTGTATATGAAATAAATGCAAATTGAATCTTGAATCTTGAAAGTTGTTACTTTTCCTCAAATCAGTATGACATGCAGTATACAGTATATCAACTGCATTATACTGTATACAACATGCAGTATACAGTGTGTCGAGAGCTCCCTGCTGGGCTGGAGCACACATTTCCTACCCCTCTCCCTTCGGCAAACACCTCATGGAGGGGGGGGGGGGGGGGGGGGGGGGGGGGGTGTGTAACGAGGTCGCAGGTCAGGCGTGCACTCGTCAGTTGTCTTATACGGTAAGAGTAAGATCTTCCGGACGATCACTGCACTGGAAGAATATGGATTGTTGATGTTTACAGCGTGTTTGGAACTGGGAGTTGAACACTAAGCACTTTTAGAGAAGAGCTCACAATAAAACGTTATGGACTCGCGAACGGACTTGTTTTTTTCAATTCCAGACGTACATATATAAGGTTGAACTTCTACGACAGATATAACTTGTTTACCGCTCCCTAACTGTAACATTAACTGAACTTTACGCCTTTTATACACATTTGTGGGGGGTTGCCTAAAAGTCGGGCCAAGAAAAGTCGGGCCGGGCCGGGCCAGCGGGTAATACTAAAAATGGATTGTATAATAATAAAACGAAACGTGCATATCTAGGCAGATCTCAAATGTCCAGAAACGGATAGTTTTGCTCATTTAATTGAGTTTGAATCAAAATGTATCTTCAGCAATGTAATAAACTGATAATTATAGCTACATACCGAAAAGTCAGTGTCTTGACTGTGTCTTTACTTTGATGAGAAGGTTTCTCACCGACCTTAGCGTACAGGGGTGTGATGTCCTGGGCAGGAATTCGAAATGACAGTGTTTTGACTACTCTTCTTTCATTAATTAACGTGTTTGGCATACCTAATTTACCTTTACAATTCATGTTAAACCAACACAAGATGTTTTCTGCAAGTGGATATTCGCGAATGTCATAGGACTGACACGACACGTGTTAATAACTGTCAAAGCGCTTCTAAAATTACAACACATACTTTACATCTATAGACTAATTATAATATCATATCTACCTATATAACACTTTAGTGTCTCATATTGCAGTAGCAAACACGGTGCTCAAAAGTGAAGCCCTTTTCCCTTTACATTCTCTCTATCAGAAGTGTTTGGCTTGTGTTGGGTCCGACTTGGCCCGGGCGGTCAAAATCAACTTTAAACACACAGATGTATCTTCAAATGTGTTTACATCTATAGATTAGTGTTATATCTACCTATATACCACTTTATAATGTCACGGTACATCGTATTTAAAGAAAACAAGGGGCTCAAAGTGAAGCCCTTTTCCCTTTACATTCTCAACATAGTCTCTATCAGAAGTGTTTGGCTAGTGTTCGGTCCGACTTGGCCCGGGAGGTCAAAATCAACTTAAACACACATACGTATCTTCAAATGTGTTTAAACACACAGATGTATCTTCAAATGTGTTTACATCTATAGATTAGTGTCATATCTACCTATATACCACTTTATAATGTTACGGTACATCGTATTTAAAGAAAACAAGGGGCTCAAAGTGAAGCATTTTTACTGTATTTTCTTAAGAAAATCTATGTCAGAAGTGTTGGGTCCGACTTGGCCCGGGCGGTCAAAATCAACTTAAACCTCACAGATGTATCATTAATGGATTCACATCTATAGATTAGTATTATATCCACCTATATACCACTTTATAGTGTCTCAGATCGCTGTAATCAAAGAAAACAAGGTGCTCAAAGTGAAGCCCTTTTCCCTCTACATTCTCAACATAGTCTCTATCAGAAGTGTTTGTCTTGTGTTGGGTCCGACTTGGCCCGGGCGGTCAAAATCAACTTTAAACACACCAGATGTATCTTCAAATGTGTTTACATCTTTGTATTAGTGTTATATCTACCTATATACCACTTTATAATGTCACGGTACATCGTATTTAAAGAAAACAAGGGGCTCAAAGTGAAGCATTTTTACTGTATTTTCTTAAGAAAATCTTTGTCAGAAGTCTTGGGTCCGACTTGGCCCGGGCTGTCAAAATCAACTTTAAACACACATATCTATCTTCAAATGTGTTTACATCCATAAATTAGTGTTATATCTACCTATGTAGCACTTTATAATGTCACAGTTCATCGCATTTAAAGAAAACCATGAGTTCAAAGTGAAGCCCTTTTTCCTCTACATTCTCAACATGACTAGTATTATATCTACCTATATAACACTTAATAATGTTGCACGATAACTCAAAGAAAACTGGTCTGTTAAAGTCGAGCACTTTCCCTGTATCTTCTCAAAAAGAATTCACCAAATGTGTTGGAGTGAAGTATACTCTTTAAAGTGAAGCCTTTTTTTCATGGTATGTGTCTGGTCGGAAAATCCTTTGCTTTTACCTAATCCGTCGTGGGTTTTTTCAATGATCATACTCACAGGGTAACACTTGGAGAAGGTAAGGTGAGACACTTTGCATTTCAGGATAAACCTCCCCCTCAACCCTGCTTAATGCTTCTATTATCTATGAGTGTGTTTAGGAAAACAGGATTATCTGAGACATAATCTGCCATACGGCGAGAATACGTGCTGCATCTCCGAGCAGCTCGTTCTGTGAAAACACACTTCGCCTGAACCTGACTTGGACCACTCAGTATTATCGTCGTGATGGTTAAAAGACGCCATAAATTAAAGTTCTCTATATATCTAGCAACCTTTTTTATATAAGCAACCACTAAAGCTGCCTCTTGGGTTGCACACACCACTTTCGCACCTTTCGGAAACACATTAAATGGCCTGGCCGGGCCCGTGTGCGAAATACGCATCAGTCGGAAAGCGCACGTTAAATGTCCAAAGTAAGTAAGTAAGTAAGTAAGTAAGTAAGTAACTTTGTTTTACAGTCGTGATGTTTAAGATTATTAACCACCCGGGACAAGTCGATCCGACAGGGTGAATGATACGCAGGATGCAAAAGGAGGTAAGCGCAAGTACGGTACAGAAACTGAAGTAAGTTGGGCTCTCTTAGTTTTCTGTATGCTTACACATCATCACGTCATACTGGATTTAATTTAGTTTCTTATTCTAATACTGCTAATCTTTGTCAGTGGCCAGTGAAAGTATCACAAGGGAAAATTCCAATATATACAAAATATACAATTTGTATATATGGTATATCCAAAAATATAAAATTTTGTATATATGGATAGATTTTACCACTGCTTTACTCAGTTCCTTTTTACTGGATTCTCACAATATGTGGTTGATATTGAAAATATTACTAATAATACCGGACAGTATTATTGCATGTGACAAATATACTTTAAAACTATGTTCATTATGACAACTATATTTGGAGTGTTATGAAATAATTGGCATTATTCATGTTGACAGCATTTTACATAATAAAGTAATAGAAGATTTGTAACTGTTAGATATATAATACGTCCGCCTACTGTTTACAAATAAGATGATCTATACATACAAGTAGTTCAGAGTAGTTTTAAACAGTGACGGTAAAATAAATTTATCGTGAATAGCGGCAAATATGAATAGATACAATTTAATATGTATGTTTCTGTTATGTCATGGTATGTTTATTCTGAATCTAAAATATTGCTTGATATTGTTTGCCAAACAGTTTTATGCACTGTCCATCGTGATACTTCTACTTAAGTATATAAAAAAGGATGTTTGTTTAGACATGCGTTCATTGTAAACAACGCCGTGTTTTCGTTCGCTGGTTAGCTTTTACAGGTCAAAAGCAAAGTTAATCGCATTACTTTCGTGACGCATTTTAGGCCTGTCATACAGTTCCTGAAACAAATATATCCAATACAGCCGATGCAAGTCAATCATATTTGGCAAGACTAGATTACTGCAGTTATATATTTTATCAATATAATCAAACAATTGTTTTTATTTTTGTAAAATATGTTCATTTCAGAAACTAGATGTTAGTCTAGCCAGCGGTCTAAACTCGCATTAATTTGGTTACACGTTTCATGATTTACAGTATTCGTGAAGAATATGTAACAATTAGCCACAATTAGAGCCTTTGGTAGGAGTAGAGGGAATGATAAGCATAGACTTGCTTAAAAACAAAAAACTCTAAATAGTATTTTTTTTTGTGATCCAAACTTAGATGTTTTCCTGAATACAAAAATATTCTTGTCTGTACACAAATTTATAGAAACGACTAACAGATTCAGTAGCTAGCATATTATTGTTTCCAAACTGTTAATCATTAATATTGTTAAATCTATATACAACACTAACATGTATAATATGAGCATATGTATGAGATGCACACGGTCTTCACTTTCCAGCACATTGTACATATCCTTCATATGAGCACTGTATATAAATTTATATTGCGCACTATGTTTCCACAATGTGATGCTTCAACTGTAAATTGTTAATTTTCATTATGCAATATTATGTATAACTGTATATATGGAGACGGTGGTAATAAGTGCTGCACTTGTGCACAATCCCTTTGTCTTTTTGGACAATACAATATGTTTAATAATAATAATAATAATAAGCAACCAATGTATTATGATCAGGGTCCATTGGTATCCCTTCAGCAAGTGCGAATCTGGTCCTAACACATCTGTTTTGTCATGTATCACGCGCTATACAGTCGAACCTCGCTTATCCGGACAATTGCTTTTTCTAAAATGTTGTCCGGATAAACGAGTTTCTGGATATCTGAATACCTTGTTATCTGACCAGAAGTCCTTCCCCTACCTCAATTCTACCGAGGCATATGTGAAATGAATGGCAAAAATATGATTTATGAAGGATCGACCAATTACTAATAAAATACATTGTGCTGTACAGTCCTACGCAGCATGCTGTGACAGCGCACTGCATTATTGAAACGGCTGAAGAAATGCATATGTAGCCTAGTTTAGACTATGCACTTGTTTTGTGTACAGATACGACGGCGAGGTTGGGGCAACCTGACACACATGAGCATTAATAGCCATGTTTACCTGTACTAGTTGAGAGCCAAGGTTGAAGTCATTCATGTGTGAAAAATGTTGTCGAGGCATCTGTACATCTTCTTTGTCGAATTGCATTATTAAAGTACATCAAGATGAGACATCATATACATTCATATATATTTGTTGAGCACGAAACCTTGAAGTGTAGCCAGGACATTTCCAAGAAACTAAGGGCGGCCATGTAGCTTCAACATCTTATAAATTATATCACTGAACATAGGTCAAGGTGTATTCAGTAAACAAAGATCTGAAGGGCTGCATTTCCTTCATCGAACACACTATGCGTTCATCACAGTTTGTGACGGATTGCGGATACGAACGAACTAGCACTTGTTTGGCAGGTAGGTTTTGTTAAGATTTGTTATCTTGTTCTCTCTCTACCCTCTACTTCCTTAATCACAATTTAAATCCTAAATAGACTTTCGGGCCTAACACTGTGGCAATTTTAGACCCCCTGTTTCTGTATTTACTTGAGCTCATTTCCCCTAAGGTTTACACATCTCATAAGACTAAGTCATCAATGATGTCAAAGCTGTCTGACATGTTTCTTATGAAGAGTTCATGAAGCTAAACAATGTCCAAGTGACTAAAGCACAAAAATACGAGAACACTTCTGACATAGAATTTCTTAAGAAAATACAGTAAAAATGCTTCACTTTGAGCACCTTGTTTTCTTAAAATACGATGTACCGTGACATAATAAAGCGGTATTCAGGTAGATATAATACTAATCTAAACATATGAATCTATTTGATGATACATCTGTGAGGTTTAAGTTGATTTTGACAGCCCGGGCCAAGTCGGACCCAACACAAGACAAACACTTCTGATAGAGACTATGTTGAGAATGTAGAGGGAAAAGGGCTTCACTTTGAGCCCCTTGTTTTCTTTAAGTACAGCGATCTGAGACACTATAAAGTGGTATTTAGGTAGATATAATACTAATCTAAAGATGTGACTTCATTTGATGATACATCTGTGGAGTTTAAGTTGATCTTGACAGCCCGGGCCAAGTCGGACCGAACACTTCCGACATAGATTTTCTTAAGAAAATACAGTAAAAATGCTTCACTTTGAGCACCTTGTTTTCTTTAAATACGATGTACCGTGACATAATAAAGTGGTAGTTAGGTAGATATAATACAAATCTAAAGATGTGAAACCATTTGATGATACATCTGTGAGGTTTAAGTTGATTTTGACAGCCCGGGCCAAGTCGGACCGAACACTTCTGACATAGAATTTCTTAAGAAAATACAGTAAAAATGCTTCACTTTGAGCACCTTGTTTTCTTTAAATACGATGTACCGTGACATTATAAAGTGGTATATAGGTAGATATAACACTAATCTATAGATGTAAACTCATTTGAAGATACATCTGTGTGTTTAAAGTTGATTTTGACCCCCCGGGCCAAGTCGGACCCAACACAAGCAAAACACTTCTGATAGAGACTATGTTGAGAATATTAAAGGAAAAGCTTAACTTTGAGCCCCTTGTTTTCTTTAAGTACAGCGATCTGAGACACTATAAAGTGGTATATAGGTAGATATAATACTAATCTGAAGTTGTGAATCCATTTGATGATACATCTGTGAGGTTTAAGTTGATTTTGACCGCCCGGGCCAAGTCGGACCCAACACTTCTGACAGAGATTTTCTTAAGAAAATACAGTAAAAATGCTTCACTTTGAATACCTTGTTTTCTTTAAGTACAGTGATCTGAGACACTATAAAGTGGTATATAGGTAGATATTATACTAGTTTATAGATGTAAACACATTGAAGATATATCTGTATGTTTAAAGTTGATTTTGACCGCCCGGGCCAAGTCGGACCCAACACAAGCAAAACACTTCTGAAAGAGACTATGTTGAGAATGTAGGGGGAAAAGGGCTTCACTTTGAGCACCTTGTTTTCTTTAAGTACAGTGATCTGAGACACTATAAAGTGGTATTTAGGTAGATAATATACTAGTTTATAGATGTGAATCCATTTGATGATACATATGTGAGTTTAAAGTTGATTTTGACAGCCCGGGCCAAGTCGGACCGAACACCTGTGTGACTGTTGAGGGTATAGGGAGAAGAGGTCTACTTTAACCAACGTGTCTGCTTTAAATACGACGATCAGTGACATTATAAAATGGTATTTACTTATATATTGAACGTTCCTATAAATATAAACACTATGCTCACAGATGGAAATTTGTATCACGATAGCTAGAAGTATTTGATACGTTTCAAATCTTACTTCGTTTAACGATTGCTCTTTTACATGTTACCAAGATCAGCGACGCTTACATACTGCTCCACTTTCTGGTTGTCGAGCGATTTACTCCGAATTAATTATTTATGGTGCACTTTTTTGTTTGGTGATTGTTCATTAATGTCATGTGTGTATGTTGCATCAATTATATGTAGGTATGATCGCCGATAATGAAGTAATTAGCCAGTAACACTTTGGCCCGTCTTGGCCCGGCCCGGCCCGACTTTTAGGCAATGTGCATTTGTTGGGCGACAATGCGACAACGAGACATACTTTGACATTGAAAATGTCGCGTTACGGCATTGTCGGCCTTTTGTAAAATATAGAAAAAGATTAGTCAAAGAGCGACAACGCGACAATGCGACAAATGGCCAAAATGTCGCGTTGTCGAATTGTCGCGCTTTGGTTAATTTTGACACGTTTTGCTTGTTTTTGTAAGGGCGTCAATGCGACAATACGTCAACGCGACAATGTCCCTTCCAAGATTCCATAGTGATCCGTGCAAATAAAACTGAGTTATGAAATAGAAGTCTAACATGCAAATTAAAAGATAAAGTGTTAAAATGCGCTATAGCAGCTTCTGATTTCATAGCTCTTCAAGAAGGATTATCAATAATGGGATGGTTGATCATCTGCATACCGAGTCTATACGCTGTCAAATGTATGACATGTATTCCCTGTAGGAACATAGTGTTTATACTCGTCCATGTTTTTGACGGACAATATAATTTACATGCTCGGTAATAGTGAGGACGGGCATCATTGTGTGTTTCCGTGCTTTGTTCAGGTGAACAGTTGACTTGTCCTTGCATGTGTTTGTGACGGGTGCCACCTGTGTGGAAGGATACGCTCACCTTTTCGCGAACACCGGTTGGATGGCCTGAACCACTTCGGGTTTTTATCCCACATCAGTCTGATACACCGTCATACAACTGAAATACTGTTCAAAGTGGTGTTTAATGCGATCCTGTAGTGTGTTACTGCAACTGTCCAAATTTTGGGTAGTGATGTTATGTAAAATGTAAAATATAGCATATTCAATTATCCAATTGATTTGATTAGAATATACTTGCGTCAGTGTATTTTATTAACGCCAAAAACCGTATTTGTTAAACACATATAATAACAGATCATATAAACGCATGGTGCCTTGACTTATTATTAGCTTTAATAGGCCATTTCGGAATAAAATAGTTCCTCCAAAAGCGAGGAACATCTGTTTTAGTTTGTTTACAAGAAATGTTTTCCAAAAAATAACCTCCTAAGATGAGAAAGTCTGTTAAGAACTACCTAAGTAAGTCAATCACAATGACAGATCGTCGTTATACATTAACATCAAGTACAAGACGTCAAAATGGCCAACACGATAGACATGACGGGAGATATTTTCGAAGTTGTTAATTAACCTGTGACGATTTCAAGCCTTTTTCATCACTGATCAATTGGCCGATCATTGACAGGTGATAGTAAAGTGTCAACTAGATACTAAGGTAAATTCATAGATTGCTGTAGATTGTCACTACGATAGTTTGGATTTTGGGGTTTTTCTTTTCTCTAGGATGGGTTGTTGCGAGGGTATCCTTGAACGGGCATGCAACCAAACTATGACTCCCAGAGTATGCTATGACGCTACGTTCAAAATTAAAGGCTCTAAATGATGAGACACAACGCTTCTGTATGAATTCGTACTATGGAATTCCCAGGGCTTTCCCCAGGAATGTGGAAGTAGTCAGTGTTTACGTCATTTCAAGAATACAGTCACGTGAAACACGTCCTGTGACCGACCTCTCGTCCTATGGAAAAGCCGTATAACGTGTAAACTTCACATTGCAAAATTAGTTACTGTTATAACCAAATGAAACAACCCATTATCCGATAGAGGTAAATGTGCGTAGCGGAGAGATATGTTATCTCAATAAACTTGGTAACATGGTTTGGTTTGACTTCTAGCCGCGTGTCTGAATTCCATTAACATGTTACACATCCTAAAACTGACTAATCAGCAAATCTCGCTGAACTGCGCGCGACAGATACTAGAGCAAGGCATGCCAGAAATACGAAACCTAATGCTTCCGAAAGGAACCCTTGGGCATCACGTGCGTCGGGGGACCAGCGCCATCTGGTTGGCCGTTAACAGTTGTACAAGGGGGAGCAAAAAGCATCGTTTTTCCGTCCATTTTACGCTTGAAAAACTCGACGATTTTCCGGACACTTTCTAGACGCTAACCAATTAATCAATTTTAATGAATTTTGAGTCGTTTTTCCGTCCAATGACCATATATGGAAAAAAAACGACGTTTTCGTGTTTGCAGTGATCGAGACGGTCATATGACAGGGGGTGTTATAACCAGACCCGTATTACACCCTAAGCCGGGTTGATTTGGCCTATCAATGCATTTTGAATGTACGATGTCAACCCGGGAAGTGAGAAATTTGAAATGCGCAACACCAAATAGGCCCACCCTTTTAGGGGGTTAATACGTTATTCGTTTATTTGTTCGCTTGAAACAAATTTTATTAACCCAATTAAGAGGAAATTAAATATTGTCTTAAATATTGTGAAATATTGTTAACGAAAAACAAGGGCCCAAGGAACTGTCAGCAGGGCTGATCAGGCAAGATTCTATAAATACCCACTCAGGCAACTGATCAGCTGATTAAATCTTCTCAAATCCATCAGTGGATTGTAATATTTTTGGACGAATTTTACACTTTTAAACTAATTTTACAGTGAATAATTTAATATGTAAAATGATGATTATTTCATGTTATTTTTTTATATATTGTTTTGTTCCTGAACATGGTGAGCACATGTGTTTTTATTAAAAATATTTTTTTAAACTTATTCAATGGACAATTTTTCTTTTGAACATTATATTTAACATCATGACACCAAAAATGTTACTAAATGAGTCATCTAATTTTCCCATATTTGTGAATGACAAGAAACAATGTGAATTTGACAAGCACAATAATTTATTGTGTGTGAAACATAAATACATAGGATATATGTAAACAATTAATTATTATTTCAGTAGTTCTACAAATATTTGCATTTTAATACCCTTGTAATTTTACATTGTTATTTTACTGCAACAGTTACCTCCAAACTTTATTCTTTTATTATTTTGTCAGATTAGAAGTTAAGACTTACTGATAATAGGTAATTTAAAATTAATATTTGCTCCTTTTTATCTTCATGAAAACAAGACATAATAATAAATATGTATTTTGGTGACCTGTTCATATGTGATTTTTTTTGGTAAAAAGTATTAAAATTAAAATTAGACATTGCTAATGTAAAGAAATGAGGTTTATGGTAAAATGTTATAAGAGGACCTCTAGTTGGTCATTTCTTCATCACCCATAAATTTCAGTTTTTCTTTACTTACCATGTTCTGAAAATTTACACATCAGAATAATTTAAGGTCTCTGATTAAAATAGCGACACAGCTTTATACTCCCAGGCAAGCCAATTAGATTATGTCAGAAACATAAACCACTGTAAACCTTGTAATGGGAGAATAATAAATAATAATACATTTCTTATTTTGTCATATGTCCAGTTTATCATCCCAAGAAATGCTAAATAATTATCATTAAAACTAAGCTAGCTATGCATATTGGGGCTCTTTATCTGCTATGGTAATATAACAATTGCATTATTAAAGAAGTGGTTTTTTTCAGTAAACATGGTAAATAATAAATCTTTAGTTTAAAGAATATACTTGAGACAAACATGATTCTACAAAATAATTAACTGTCATATTGAGTTTCTACCTAAAACTAATAATATGAAATTAATTTTGAGATTATTTCATCCTATCTAAAATACAATAAATACAATACAATAAATCCGATAAAATATATTTTTAGATGCATAAACGTACATCATTGTTGGAATTTTTTTTTATTGTTTTTAAAAACATACCTAATAAGGTTGATTGGTGCCCAACATGTTTATCTTCATCATTTTGTCTGCTCCCTATAAGAAATCAAAATAGTTAATAAAAAATATAAATACATATATTACTTTCTTGAGTTTATATAGATTTAGGTATGACTTAATACATTCAAGTTTAAACGGTATAGTGTTGTTTTTTAATAATGAGTTTCTTAATTGTCCTGAGATAGTTTGTTCAGTCTTGATAGTCTTCATGTTTAAAAAACACCATATAATTATAGGCCAAAATACATTATATATTGATCTGGACAAACTCCACCCGTTGAAAGGGGAAACAACAGCTGTGGTAGCAAAACATCTTGGTCGTGAGATGTACGGTCCGTCCGGCAAAGATTGATCGTTTCCTGCATTAAAATTGAGTATTGCTTTAGATCCAAATTATCTGAGTGTTTATTTTCTTAAAATATGAAATTTAAGTCTCGATTATTTTAATATAACTTTAAAATATGTTTTTGATCGATCGGCTCTAGATCAACACTTCGTTATAACGTGACATTTCTTATGTGGTTGATAGTTGTTGTTTTTTAAAATACCAAACAATATGGTTTTGTTTTACTATTTCATCGGTATTTTTACATGAATTAATTAACTGTTTCATTAGCTTTGTTATCAGCCTTGAAAACGCCCAGTAAAGAATGTACCGGAGTTGCTCACCTGGTCCCGTAATTTCGATGCGGTATCTCGCTTCGGTTACCGTCTTCTCATTCTGCAACTGAATCTGGTACATTGGGAACCCGAAATTCTCTGATATATCTCCACATATCACATCCCTTCTTCCCCCACAAATTTTCTGTCAGTCACCAACTTTCGGAGATAGAAACATCGTCACTACGGTAATATTTTGACAGCTGGGGATTTCCTGTACTAGACGACCTCGGGTATCCCCGACCCGAAAATAGTGCCGTCAATTATTTTTAGCCAGCCAATCAAAACGCGATGACACAACTCTCCACTCTCAGCCAGCTAATCAGATTGGATGAAAAAAATAAACCACTGCGAATAAACCACTGCTAGCGATTGAAGATCATGCCCTGTTATGGGAGAAGCAACAAATATATAATCTGAATCATTCGAAATGGCATAAGGTGGAGTATGTGTAACAGTAATCTCCCTCTTAATTTAGAATGAAATATGTGGGAGAATTTGTTCCTCATCTCAGGAGGCTAACTACAAGAAAAATACAAGAAACACATGACCCGAGAGGACAGAAGCATGTTTTTAAAGTACCTCTGAATCATCACCATCCTCGTTTTTCTCAATTTTCAAGGATAAAATTAGCACAAATAATGTTAAGGGTAAGCTTACTATATTTTTAATTACAAAGTCACCTTCTTGTTTAGCATGGAATAACTGGTAAAATTACTGAAGCCTTCATGACAGCTTATTGACTTTGTATGCCGGCAATCTTCATATAAACCTGGCATGTCTAAAATAGATTTAAAATAATTGTAATGTTTAGAAAAGATAGCAAAGTACACAAGACATGAAATTAGATTGATTGATTTTTTAAATCAATAATAGATAACTACATATGTTATCCCATGCCCTGTCATCATTAACATTAATGTATTTCCTTGATCGGATGAGGGTTCCTGGTTAGAACCGGTTCCCATTAAGGGATGAGTGTCGTGAGGGGCAACTCTAAGTCAGTCTCGGTTGTTTGGTTGACTGTGAGTCATCGGACCTGTCGGCGTGGGACGTTGTTCATTTTTCAAACACTTGCTTGTCTGGCCCAGTCACGATTACATGTATTTACACACAACATGTACACATGTACAAGACACACAATCAACCAAGTCACCGAGTATGCCACCTCATCCAATTATAGAGTGAGGATCAATGTCTGGTGAAGGATAGTCTGAATGATGTATATAATATACCTGATATGCACCCTCCACCACCTTTCCCTCTCAACGATGGACGTAACATATCCGACACACACACACACACACACACACACACACACACACACACACACACACACAGAGAGAGAGAGAGAGAGAAAGAGAGACAGCGCTTTCCTTCTGAATGATGCATATATTATATATTTTATAGATCGTTTGCAATAAATCGTCATTTCAGGATTTATATATATATATTTAGTAGCTTGTTTGCAATAAATCGTCAATTCAGGATTTTTTGTTTATGATAACACTCCTTATATGAATTCTGTATCACGAAAGATACTTCATACTCGTCGAAAGAGACGATGAACAGGAAAATCATGTTGATCGATTACATAACTTGGCGTGGATCGTTGAATAACCATATTCTTGGTCTGACTTGATTATATACAGGCTGCTGTGATATAGATGGAATATTGCTGACAGCATTCACTCACTCGCCCAAATGCTTTAGGGAACCATAACTCAGCATATTTTAAGTCACATTAGCAGTATACCAATCTGGACTGAGGGAGACACATGAGTTGCATATAAACTGCCGGGCTAAAGAAAGTATACACTTAAAAATCGGATTTGATTAAAAAAAAACAAAAAACTTTATCAAAACAGTTAAAGGCTAAAGACTACGATACCCGTCACACACATCGCCGTCGAATAGACATTAATAGCAATTATCAATGTAAATTCCTTTACAGTGATGATGCGGTTGCTTGAATCACAAACATTCATGTTATTGATCTGAGATCATCTTATTCAAACAATATGAAAATGAATTATAACTAATTTAGATTATAACTGTATTCACAATGAAACAACTTTGTTTTACTGATATTATCAGGGTTTGAAGTCGTATACATTGGGTACTAAAATACATTTTCTGTTCGAAACAGATTATGCCGTTATCTTTACTGATGGTGAGACTGATCAGTTTTATTATCCGATTGGAAACACTCGATCTGTGGATGTTACCCATGGATGCCAGGTTGCTGAGGAGTGCGACATCCTGCTGCTAGGATGTGGGGACATCAGGCACGTCCTTCACACAATGCACGTACTACATCAAGATGGTACGACAAAAACAAAGAACCAGACAATAAACTTTCACGTCAATGACATCGAAGAAGGTATCTTGGCGCGGGATTTGGTTTTACTCTTCCTAGCTCGAACCATTAATCCAACAAATACTGAAGAATTGAAGACTCTGTGGGCTGTTTGGTACGATGTGTTATTGTCCTCGACACACCTACAGAAGCTGAAAGAGGTGATGGAAGAATTATCAGGACTCAAATCAGGCAGTAATGGTATATATTTTGGAAATGGAAAGACAGAACTGAAAATCAAACAGGCTCTCCGGTCTTGGTTGGGAGTTAAAATCTCAGCTAGACAGACTATCGATAAACGAACCGATTTTCTTACCAAGATGAATATGAATGACTTCCCTGAAAGAGCGGTACTGAGAGTTTCCTCCCGGCTGGTGGACCAAAGCAAGCGCTTGGATTTGACACAACGTTTGAAAGACAGGTATTACACGTTTCAAAGACATCACTAACTTTTGCAGGGGTGTAAGGGATTTTGTTTTTAATATAATTAAAGTATTTCTAGAATTATGATCCATGTTTACCATCACCATGCCCATAGGTTTCATTTAGTTAATTTTAAAGTTGGTTGGTTTGTTGTTTATCTCCGCACTCAGCAATATTCCAGCTAAATGACGGCTGTCTGTAAAAAAATCGAGTCTGGACCAGACAATCCAGTGATTGACATCGTGAGCGTCGATCTACGCAATTGGATTACCATAACATGCATCAACCAAGTCACTGAGTCTGACCACCTAATCCCGTTAGTTGCTCCTTACGACAAGCATAGTCGCCTTTTACGAAAAAGCATGGGTTGCTGAAGACCTATTCTAATCCGGATTTTCACGGATCTTTTTCTTTGTGTATACATAGTATCATTATATTGTGTATTATATTTCAAGCTGGGTTGATAAATACCGTGGACCCTTTCGCCGCCCTACTTATTAGAATGGCAAGACGGTAAAAAGAGCCATCCAATAAATTACTCTCTTGAGCGCTAGAGAGATGAGAGAGATAGAGCTGGTGACGTCACTCTCGAAATGAAGCTATGGCTGCCACTGGAGAAATTGAATAGATTGAGATATAATACTCTGGTTATTCGAGGATGCCCGAGTGATGCTAAATTGACAAATAGTTCTTTCTAAAATGCTTGAAACTATTTTTAGCAGCGGCAAAAGAAACTGCTTCATATAAAGTGTTGTAAAGGTTATGTTATAAAAAATAACAACATAATGTTTGCTCATTCCTCTGATCAATGTTTTATCATAACAAATTCATTGAAAAAAATCCGTACCAGTTTATAATCGAGTCCTGATCAGACGATCAAGTTATGAATCAGACAATCCAGTAAAACGATAGTGCAATTACTAATTTTGTTTAAAAAAAACCCGATATGTTAAGTGCAGAGATTCTGCTGCTTACAAGATAAAGAGAAACGTTAAAAAATGTGGGAATTTCTCCAGGTGGTCTGATTTCAGCTACTTGTTCAGGACTATGTGAAATCTATTAACCAAAACTCTTTTAAATAACTCTTTGATTAGCTCAGTAGATTGCAAAAACTTATTTTATTGATCTGCTTTGACGAACTATTCACAATTGTTTTCAGATATCAACAAGAAGTTCGTGAATACATCACAAGTGGCGTTTCTAGGGTTAATTCGTCAGCACTGACCTCTCAAACAATACTGGATCGTTTCCATGGCAACGTAACATTTTTCAGACCAGGACGTGATAATTGGAGAGTTGAGGACAACAGCTGCCCTTTTATGTGTTATGACGTGGAACTTCAGCTTGACAGGTAGAGTCGTTAATATTATTTTATTGCAAATGTATTTACGGGCCAGCGCCATTAATACTTGCATAAACTTGAATATCCTTAAACTTTTCTCTCTAGATACAATGGTGGAGATGTCACAATGTGCTCTTTATTTATTGAACTATTGAGGAAATGGGTGAAGAGCTACCAAGCAGCAATAAAGACTGGATGTACTACCAGGGTATGTTTTGTACATGGATGTATATTTGTAGATGAAAGTAGTAATTCATTTCACATGAATATACATATAACCCACGTTTGAATAAAAACGATCACATGCCCTGAAATTGCAACAAACACACAGCAAAAGAAATTAGGTATGGGCAAACTAGATACAACCATACACTGGTCATTAAAACAACTTGGACAACGTTTGAACTTGTAAACGATTACTCATTTATGGGCATAATAATATGTTGTTTCAATATTAAGACACAGATATTGTAACATAAAGATATCTTTATCTTCAGTGGTGTTTCGAAAGCTTGTAAAATAAGGTCACATTACGATGCTTAATTTCAGATCTACCTGTGGCTGGGTGATGCAACAGAAGTTTGTGACACAGACCTTCCAGACAATCTCTTGTTTGACTTCATCGACACATCGAACATTGCCGATAGAGTTGGCCTGATTCCATTGCTGGTCAATTGTCAACAGAGACTCAAACAGTAAGCAGCTTTAAGGGGCTTGAGTGTTCTTGCTAAATAATTGGAAGAATGTTCCAAAGCAAAACGCAACTGTTGCTCTTTGTGTTGCAAATGATGATTCTTTTGTGTGAAGTTTAGAGTCTCTTTTTCCTAGGCCAAATGGTGTTCTGAGGACAGAGACCTTTCATTGGAACAAAGGCAGCTGTACCACATTGGAATCTTTTTTGCGTCTGTGCTTGGATGTTCCTCAGTTGATGTATCCAACCCTGTTCGGTCTCCACCTTGCTGAAGAACTCACGCTTGGTCATGAGTAAGTGAGTGAATGAGTGAGTTGGGTTTAACGCCGCTTTTAACAGTATTCCAGTTATATCACGGCGTGTCAGCTAAATGTGGGAGGGAAGCCCGAGGTGATGCAGGTCTCAGACGTTTACCACTTCGGTGAAACCCACGAGCACGGGTATGGTGCTGACAAACCTAGAAACATAATCGGGGCGAACCGGGATTCGAACCCACAATCAACCGCCCAAGGGAAGCAACTCTGCACAGCGAATCGCGGCGCCTTAGACGACTGGGCCACCCGCGCCCCCTTGGTCATGAGTAAGTAAAAGACTCTTAAGTCTTTTGCAAAGGCTGTCATGCGTCTAATACTTTTATACACCCTTACTTTTCTAGTGATTCATAAACATATATGAAAGACAAATATTATCGAAATTGTACAATGGATTATGGAAAGGGTTTTGTTGCTGTACTGATCCATTCATATAATTTACACTGTCATTTTGTCTTTTACGCTAATGAAATCTGTTTCGGTGGATAATCAGTACTGGTTATTATCGGATGTAGACGTTTATATTTACACTACACAGAGAGAACATGAATCGATATGAATGGTTTTTCAAATGATAGTACCAGAACATTCCACTGATTGTGTGTCCTTCATTAATTCATTTTAGGAATATCCTTGTAGACGGGTCTTTTGTTGGAGTAACAAAGTTAGCCTTGAGATGGAAGGCAAGCAGGGAACAGGAACTGTTGACGCTGTATGCAGATGGTAAGAGGTTTTGATAGGCCTACATCCTAAAAATATGTTCTGGTTTGAGATAAATGGAAATAATAATGATATTTTGTCTTCCATGAAGCTCATTTAAACAAGGTCAAAGTACAACGACCAAAAAAGTATGCTTGACTGTAAAAGGAGGTGTTCTTTTGCAGCGCCACTACACTAAACGTATCAGTGTCTCACTTATATTGGCAAACGTTGTCAGTACCCATTCTTCATGGGTATTTGGGAAATGAGGAAATGTGTAGAAGGAAGTAGAAAGTAACTAATGTTTTTAGGTTTAAGTCAAATGTTTGTACGTCAGTCGATAGTGTACTTTTGCATTTGCACCTGCTTAGAGACCAACGTGCCTAAAAGTATGGTCTTAAACCATTGTATAATGTACACCCATCAATGACCTTTCTGTACCGAAATGATGCCATGTATACACACAGGAAAAAGACCCGTGAAGATCCGGATATTAGAATAAGTCTTCAACAACCCATGCTTTCCGTAAAAGGCGATGTTTCTTGTCGTCAGACTAACCGGATCGGGAGTTCAGGTTCGCTGAGTTAGTTGATGCATGCTCATGATGTCAATAACTTGATTGTCTGAACCAGACTCGATTATTTGCAGACCGCCGTTATATGGCTGGATCATCAAATCAGTATGTTATCCAGATATGTGCTACTTGTATAAATTGTGTATCTGCGGTAACATGTTCGGTTCAATCAGTTTAAAGAGGTGTCAATGACGAATACCTCACGTTCGTGTTTAAGGAGGAGATGCCCTGTCGAAATGTCTTGCACAGCTAAAAAGTAGAAAAGAGGTGCTGGACGTCAGTGATTCTCGTGATTATGACACGACTACAATCGACAGTAAATCAAAGGACAGATTGATGCATCGACTGACAAGGATCACCACAGGTGTGTATTACAGTTCTACAGTTCGCTATCTTTTTTTGTACAGTTAAACTATTTTGCAAATTTCACTTTTTTAAATGATAAAAGCTTGTTCTGTTTCTTATCTTAAATAGATGAAGAGTAGGTTAATAATATAAGTATTTCAAATATCCTCTATGTTAAGCTACACTCATGTGGATTCCGGGTAAAATTATAGGTCCCCAGCAACATATTATGCTTGTCGACTAAATGGGTCGGATGGTCAGGCTCGGTGACTTGGTTCATTTCACAATTGCCTGGATTGATGTGCATGTTGTCATTCACAGACCGCCGCCATATACATGTATAGATGGAATATTGGTGACTGCAGCATTTAAATACAAACAAATGTATATTATATATGCGTTTTAAGTACAAGCTTCTCATCTATATATTCTTTTAGCTAATCTTAGTTAAAGTCAAGTTTGCTTATGTCATGGCATGTTTGTCCGTCAATAGTACCTATTTGTTATAGTTGTATTTCACATAAGTGTATGTTGCAAAGTTCATAATATATTAAATGTGGACTTGTTTGTGACATTGGTACTTTGAACCATGCACATAAATTCTCTGAAAAAATGCATTTATGACACTGTAAACATCATCTCCTCAGCAACTACTTGACCTATGATGGTGTAACTTCACATGCTTGTTCTCACCATTGATGATGCCCCAAGTGGGTCAAGAGGATTGAATCCGGTTTGGTGACAATGTTTGCTAACATATGTAACTGTTGACTACATTTCCAGGTGAGCCTCGGTTCTCACGGTTATTGTTTTAATAAATTTGACATATGCATATCATATTCCATGTTTCAGGTGAAGCAACTGAAGATTCAAACACTTCAGGAAACACGTTCGTAAGTTCATATTTATCACTGTTTTGTGTGCAGCTATGTTAATTTGATTTTCATATACTCAGGCCTGATGTCATTTGATGGAGGTCTTCTTAAACTATACACGTCTTGTTTCTAATCCATGTTTATATGGTCTGTATGTAGATTATCCCACATTTTTATATCCCATGCTGCTTGTACAACATGCATGTTTTTAACAAAGTCACACAATTATGGTTAATGCAGAGTTTTAGCTTTTAAAGGCCCTTTCAGTGCTTTTGCACACAGATATAAGGCCTTATAATGTATAACGCAACAGGTTTTTAATGACCTAGAATGGAACAGAGCTTGAACTGATTAGAGTGAAAAACAAAAACAAGTGTTTATCAATATTTCAGGAGTATTTGAACCGGTGAAGGAACAGATCAGGCTGTTTTTAGCTGCACTGCATTTACCTTTGCACTTCTCCTTAATGCATTAGATTCAATAACGTGGCTTGGTGGCTGGTACATTCAAGACTCCATGGTCACGTAACGGTCTCTGTGCTCTCGGTGACTCTTCTTATTTGTTCTCGCTGACATCATCATATCTGGACATAAGACCCCCCACTCTGTCACTTTCTGCCCTCTGATTGAAACTTGAAAATGCTTCTGATCCACCTACGGTAATTGTTCAGGAAAGATGAACAAAATCACATTCATCTTCCTTTACCAAACCACAGGTAGCCAAAAGAGACACAACTTTTCTGCACAACATTTGAGACCATTTCTCTTGGTCTCGAACAGACAGATTTCTCACTTCGGAGAAGTGACTTTAGTGACTTTAGTAACCACCTTCTTCACAACACCAATCTCAAAGACCTTGCTTTGCATTCTAATGCTTTTCAAATGACCGTAATTTTCAGCATCCTTCAACTCTTTCTCAATAGCCAGGCCCACATCAACTGCCCTGCAGTTCAGTTGGTTCTCATTCTTTTTTATGATGGTTGAACGTTCTTCACAACTTTGTGCTTCATTAAAAACATCCCTCCGATAACTCGACTCTAAATTCTTTGCTATCACACTGTCTGGAAACATCCTCTGAGTTTTCATTTGACCTGTAAGAGTGAGTGAGTGAGTTTGATTTTACGCCGCTTTTAGCAATATTCCAGCAATATCACGGCGGGAGACACCAGAAATGGGCTTCACACATTGTACCCATGTCGGGAATCGAACCCGGGTTTTCAGCGTGACGAGCGAACGCTTTAACCACTAGGCTACCCGACCGCCCTTGACCTGTAAGAGCAGTGATGAGTGATAGTATTAACAGTCCGTTTGGCTCCAAATGAGATTGATGAATTTGAAAATCGGGAATTAGTCTGTTAAATGTCAGTACGGTAAATGGTAATGAATACCCTGTAGTCAACACTATCTGCTGTTTGGTATTTTTATTCCAATCACTGGAAAAAGCACATGTAAGCAATGGTGTACATATAGCCTTCATTACATAATCCAGTCATATGCGCAGCAATTCCCAGCTGTACATCATCCAATCATAGTCAGTCCGTTCATTCAGAAGAGTGCTCACAAGTAAGACAATGGTGCATGCATATACCATATATACATCTGTTACTCTATATCAGGTTCCAGTATCAACATCAACAACAGAAAGGAACACAAAATTATGTATCTATGTTTTGGTAGAGCATACAGTTATTATTGTTCAAAAGTATATTTACCTCAGTTCTGCAAACATTATATGGAATGATGACCAGGAGAAAAACTGGTTTGAGACTGCAATAGATTTAGTTGCGTCATGGTAGTTTAATATTTCTTTCTGAAGTTGCTGAAAGTAACATTTCTTCTTTCTATTTTTGTTATAAATATAGTTTTGGTAACTAAGGAAATAGCATTTAAGGGTTTATTACATTTACCTTTAAAGCCAAATAAAATGTGTTCCTTCTCCTTTCAATATGTAGCGTAATGTTTACTGAGGGCTAATGTTTCAATTTCTCTTTAACTGTTTGTCATAATTTCACAAAATGTTGAAATTGAGCCAGTGTCATGTGAAGATTGCTCTTGTGTATACATAATTGTCAGACAATTGGAGTAAGGTGGTTGACACACTTGTCGGACTTAGTATATGATTTGGTCTCCTCAGTGAAATCAAACATGTACTTGTTTCAAGTAGTTTGTAATAGATTCACATCAGTCTTATTGTTCTTTATATATGGGCATATACACATTGCGTTGGCGTTGATTGCACTAGTGTTTATGTGCGGCGTTAAACAACAAACCAACCAACCAACAACTAGTGTTTATATACTAGCCACATAAAGAAACTGTGCACGGAGAAAATATATTCTGGATTGAAATACAACACAGCAAGAACAAAATGATGCAGACGCTGTAGCAGCTGAATGATCGGACCATTAGAAAATGTCAACGGGACCTGAACAACATCTGTTACGATGACGTCAGAAGATCAAAATGGAGTAGGGGGTCAAACGACAAAGTCACAAAGTCAATAACGGGTATGACCACCCTGTGCGTGAATCACTAAATGGGCATGGAAGGCCTGGGGAATGGCTTGCCATATCCTCCTCAAATCCTTTGCCAAGTCACGAACGTTATCTGGAGGATGTGGAAGACGACGCAGACGGCGCTCCATTTCATCCCACACATGCTCTATAGGGGAGAGATCTGGAGAATTTGCAGGCCATGGCAGTAACATGACATTGTTATGGTGAAGGAAATCCATTGCGACCCTAGCCGTGTGAGGACGAGCGTTGTCCTGTTGAAATGTCAATCCCGGCGCTATGACGTTGCAGGAAAGGAATGACCACAGGCCTCATAATCTGACCTCCGTAACACCGGTGAGATTGCCCTGAACAACCACCAAAGGGGTTCGGTGCCGTGCTGTTATCCCATCCCAAATCATCACAGAGCCACCTCCAAAACGATTCCTCTCCACAATACAGTTGCGTGCATAACGTTCTACCAAACGCCGGTAGACACGTTGGCGTCCGTCACTGTGGCAAATGTTGTACTTCGATGTATCTGTAAAGACAACATTTCTCCACCATATTCGAGGTTGGCAAACATGATTTCGACACCATCTCAGACGGTTGACGCGATGACGGTGTGCCAGGATGGGACGTATGGCAGGGCGTCGTGGTCGAATCCCGTACTGACGTAAACGATTCCTGACAGTGTTGGGATGGATACGGCGCAGTCCAGGAATTGTCTGGGACGTCGTTACTGCCGTTTGGAAACTGTGTCGGAGATGTGTAACTCGAATCCATCTGTCCTGTCTTGGCGTCGATACTCGGGGACGTCCTGAACGTGGGTGGTCGGCAACGTCATTTGTGTTCTGATAACGCCTCACCAATGCCGATATCGTGTTACGATGGCATTGGAAATGTGTTGCTTCCTGTTGTTGCCTCATTCCCGCTCGGATCATTCCAATGGCTTCATGACGCTGTGCAGCTGTCAATCTTGGCATGATTTGCTTGTGATATGCTTGTGTCTGCGCCTGAGAAGTTTTGAATTTTTGAATGACCACAGATCATGCTTTCCAAAGTGACAGCGAATTTTTAGTTGCACATGCTGTGTACAGCTGCACAGGAAGCACGTGCAGTAACACATTGCACGTCCATAGGCCCCCATCAATGACGTCATATCGCATGGCACGTGCATGAGCGTTTGAATGTCTCCAATAATTGCTGTTTTCAAACCTATATTTCATATGCGGACGGTGTGCCCTTATATCTATATTTTCTCCGTGCACAGTTTTTTTTATGTGGCTAGTATATTTCACAGCAGAAATAAATATCCATATGTCAATATCAGGTTGTATTAACTATCAGCCAATGGATTGTGTTCCTATCAGACATGCTTCTGATAAAGTGGGAATCGCACAATGGAAAGCAACAATACCAGGTGGTCACGTAAACCATTAAGGCCACACCATAGGCAATAATTGTGCCCCCCTCCTTGCTGATCTGCTTCTTTATGCATATACGAGGGGAGTTCAATAAGTTTTGCAACTTGGGCATTTGTGTTTACAAACAATGTCAACTTGTGGCAGGTGTGACACTAGTCATAACATCAGGTTGACAAGTGTCATGACAAGTTCCAGACACAAAAATAAGTTGGATATGATGGCCTAAATTCACCTGAGGGTGGTCACAATCATGGATTCTCTCAAACATGAACAACGTGCTGTAATGAAGTTTCTTACCAAGGAGGGATGCGAAGCAAAAGAAATCCATGATCGCATGTGTAAAGTGATGGGTAAGAATTCTCCTGATTATTCCACAGTTTGCCGTTGGTCTCTACAGTTTAAATGGGGTAAGAGTCCATAGACGATGACCCAAGGTCAGGCAGATCTTCAGATGCCATCCAACCGGAAACCATTGCTGCTATAGAAAGAAGAATTTTGTCTGACGGACGAGTGAGAGTATCTGAAGTTTCTACGGAATTCCAAATATCAGTTGGAACTGTTGGAACCATTATTCATGAGCATTGGTATGCCCAAGGTATCTGCAAGATGGGTACCTGGAAACCTCAGAGCTCAAGCTCGCCATCAGAGAACTGAAAGTTGTCGAGACCTCCTGGATCTCTATACTGCTGATGAAGCCGGATTTCTTTCTCATCTAGTGACAGGTGATCACACATGGATCCACCACTGGGACCAAGAAACTAAATTGGAATCCATGCAATGGAAACACCCCAATTTTCCACCTCAATTTTCAACCTCTGAAGTTTCGCATTCAACCATTGGCTGGCAAGGTAATGTCAACCATATTTTGGTGCAAGACGCATATTACTGATACATTGATTGCATGCCACCAAAACCTACAATCAATGGACAGTATTATGCTAATGTAATGGAAGGATTGCGAAAATATATTCGCCAGAAACGCTGTGGGGTGTTAACAGATGGTATTCTACTTTTGCATGACAACGTCGAGTATTGCACAGGCCGCCATATGTGAATGTGGCTTCGAACAGTTAAATCATCCACCCTGCAGCCCAGACTTAGTCCCCAGTGAATATTTCCTTTTCCCGCAAATGAAATCTGCCCTACGTTGAAGACGCCTCCCGGATGACGAAGACATAAAGGCTGCCACAAAGGCGTGGTTAGAGGGCCAATCTGCGGATTTCTATAAAAGTGCTATTAAAAGCTTGAAGGACAAGGACAATAGAATACGTGTATTGAGGTGAATGGAGATTATATTGAAAAAACGTGCAAAAGATAGGGTCTTATATTGAAGTTGCAAACCTTATTGAACGCCCCTCGTAAGTCAGAATTTCTGATCGGATTAGCAAAGTCAAAACGGGAATTTGGTAAAGAAGTTCAACTTAAAGCATAGTTGGGGATCTGATATTGTTTAATAATGGCGCTTTGAAATTAGGGGTAGTCTAACTGTTCATTCGAAACCTCTAATTTTAATTTGAAACCGAGCGTTACCCTGTTGTCATGCAAGAGAGCTTTAAAACTGGTGCTGTCTTGGAACGCGCACTTAGACATGGTAAATAGGCCAGCTATCTTAGAACGTGCCTCAAAGCAGTCACAGGCATAATAACGTAACAAACATGACTCAAGTTCAAAATAAACAAGACATCTTCCATTGTAGTGATGACTGATGTATGCGCTGAACTAATGTATCTATCAAACAACTTATTAAATCACACTGTTTTAGTTAATTGGAAGATGTACTTTTATCCATGTACCCCTGAAATATTTCACCAGTAAGAGTAATACATATTCAGAGTGACTATCTTTCCATCCCCAACTTCGACATTGCTGGCATACTTCCGTTACTCTGTACTCTCTCTGCCTGCCCAAATTGTTGTTGTCTTATTTACAAATTGCAAGAACCCCGATCCCTTGTTATGTTCACAATTAACATGAAGATTTACTAGTGAACGTGAGCCTGCTGGCACAACTTCATTACTATCAGAACCGGGGCGGTCGGGTAGCCTGGTGGTTAAAGCGTTCGCTCGTCACGCCGAAGACCCGGGTTCGATTCCCGACATGGGTACAATGTGTGAAGCCCATTTCTGGTGTCCCCCGCCGTGATATTGCTGCAATATTGCTTAAAGCGGCGTAAAACCATACTGACTCACTCACTACTGTCAGAACCATCCTGAAGTGGGGATGAAAACCGCCGGTTTTAGCTGAAGGTGAGTGGCATTGTACGACTCGAGAGAGTCGGAGGTACTGCTCATTTTTATGACTGATGATTGTGTCTTTACTTTATTGTGTGTGTTCCAAAATAGATGTCAACATGTTTGATAGGCTGATATCAAACGTATACAATTCTGATGAGTTATTTGCAGCCATGGTTGTGTGAAGAAACGCAATTGCTCTTGATAGAGGTTTTCAGAATGTTATGTAAAAATGCATGTTAACTTTGAGCGTCGAATGGAATTAGATATCTGATATTACTCTTATTTGGATTATCAGAATCCAACATTCTTTATTATCATGGTACAACCGCCAATTCCCTAGCACTGATTTACCCACCTGGACAAGAAATGCTGTAAGATTTTTACGCATCAGTGAAAAGAATATTTCTTGCGATTCCTGTGTAGACTTGTACCGTTTATTACCGTGTTTGTTCGAGTAAACAATTGACTTTGAATGTGTTGTGACGTGTGCCACAGGTGAAGCAGGATACATTCACCGTTTCGTGAACACCTGGTATCATCACTATTCGACAGTAATACATAAATATAAGGTCGTTCTATTTCAACGTTACCTTAATATACGTTGCTTTACAACAGCCTACCCGTGTTCATATATTGACTATTAAATATGCTTTCCTCCCAATGACAGCATTATAGTGAAAACATTTAAGATAATACTTTGACGCATATTATTCACATCATCTTTATGAATATCTACACTAGCCCAATATTAATTATTTTTATCATTCGTATTTGAATCACTCTGTATGTAACCATTACGTGATTATTTCGAGACACACTGTAGAGTTGGAAACTGCCTTATTGCTTGAACTTTTAAAACCTTCTATTCATGCACCATTCAGACTGTAGTTGAGGACATCGATCACTACAAGGTAACCATTAAAACCGATCCAGAGTTTCTGAAGGATGGAATCTTCACAACTGACAATGAGAGAAGAGATCCATATGTTGTGGTGCTGAAGAACACTCGAAATGGGTGAGACATCAAAGCCTTGGGGTCATTAATTCCATATCCCTGCAAAAGAAAGCTAATCGAAACAAATGCGAGTGATTAATTCATTGGAAACCTACATCTAATAGGCTTTGCAAACGCTTTTCGACATTAAGTTTTCCTGAAATGGGTGATGAAGTACCACCTATTACTTTTTTTGTTCAGTTTTCTCTAACTTTAAATCAGTCATTGACTAAGTGTATACGATTGGAAACAGAAAACACTAAGAATTTGTGTTGATTGGACGGGATTGTGTCATTCATGTCCGTTTTACATTATCAGGTCCACAAGCTTTAGTAAGACACTTCGGTTTGCGTGCGGTATCTGTATCAACACCAGCAGCATCAAACTGTCCAGGAAGAGAGGAACAGTTGAAGCTCACCTTGTAAAGGATCCCGGTTTCACTCTCGGTGACAGACTTTTACCGTGGAAGAAACTTGACAAGGACTTCATTGGGAATCTTCCGGATCTTCCCCGGTCAGATTTCGGAAAGGAAATAATTATGTGTTATGTGTCATGCATGCACCTGAAACCTCTTACTGATTTGGAAACCGCCACATCAGTGCAACAGTTGCAGTCCATAGTAGGATACCTTATGAAAACTGCTCCATTTTCATTTGGCGTAAGTACGTACATATGGAGGATATGGCTGTTATATCATTGAGGTGTCTTCTGTAAAGTCGTCATTGAATTTCTCGTTGAAGCAGGAATGCATAATTAAGCAACCATAACATGAAAGTTAAGTTTGTTGTAGAGGTCCGGGTCAGTGAAAAGTTCACTTGCTATTGCGATTTGAACACTAAATTTGAAAACATTATTTGTTTAAAAATTACACGTCACGTCCGTTCCCTGTATCAGATGTTACACGTTAATTCAAAAACATTGTTTGTTTGTCGTTTAACGCTGCATTCAGCAATATTCCAGCTATATGACCGGTGGTCTGCAAATGATCGAGTCTGGGCCAGACATTCCAGAGAAAGTTCACGAGCACTGATGTACACAATTGGGATACGATCACATACATCAACCAAGTCAGCGAGCCTGCAGACCCGATCCCGTCAGTAGCCTTTTAACAAAAGCATGTGTTGCTTGGAGTGGATTGGAGTTGCAAACCTTTGATAATATATGTAATCCATTCTAAGCTCATGTCTTGGTAAAACCACAATTATTTAACTTGAGAAACACAATCAAAAGTAAGGACTCGGACTCGGTTGTTGTGGAGTCTGGTTATAAATGCTGACCTATATCGAGTCTGGACCAGACAATCCATTGACTGACATTATGAGCATCGATCCACGCATTAGGGATACGATGACATGCATCAAACAAGTCAGCGAGCCTGACCACCCGATCCCGTTAGTCGTCTCTTACGACAAGCATAGTCGACCTTTTCGACAAGCATGGGTTGCTGAAGACCTATTCTACCCCGGATCTTCGCGGGTCGACTCATCAATTTCTGAAATTATGGAATGAAATTTGTCACTTTTAGCTATATTAACATCGTGAATTTGGGATCATAAATGGGGTCCGTATTGACAGATCAAGAATAGTCCGGACCGGTTTTGACAGATTCAAATGCATGTTCATATAGTGTTTTCCTTTACCAACAGGTACCAACGGACGTGGCCATCAGAGTTCCAAGTAAGCCAGATACTTTAACCAGAGTCAAAAACAGATTTTGTCTGGAGGGTCTGAAGATATATGAAAATATACCAACGATGTTTTTGACATTCTTAGATGTGGATAAACTAGACCAGCTTTTTGCACAAGGTAAAATCAGCAGGGAAGATATCTTACCCTTCCCTTCAGTGACCATGGGTTGTATGGAATTGGATTCACAGTCTGCAAAATACTTGGCTCCGGTAACTATGATAATCTTTTTCTGGTATATTTCATAATTCAAAAACACCGCTTTGGTAAAATTTAATCTGATTAACAACAGATTATATATATTCTATGCTGTGTTATCTACTATATTTAAGTGCCAAACGAAAACTGGATCTATGTTCCTTGGCGTTAACGTTTTATATAATTATGTGATGCAATTCGTCATTGGGTTTGAAGTGGGTAGTGTAGATGTTTTACATGCAAATTTGTGTACAGGGGTATTCGTTACTGATGCAAATTCTGGAATTGAACTCTCATCGGAGAGCCCAAGACCACTGTCAAGACCCAGACGAGAGATGGGTGATGAGAACATTCCTGAGAGCAAGATACCCGTATATGGATTTTCAGACTTACAACATGAGTCTGTCGGGAATTTCACAAGAGGATTTCATGAGTATGCCACCTGTTAACGAACGTTCATTGTTATACTCATATTATATGCAATGTATAATTGAATGATTTAGATCAGTCAATGTTAATAAATCGTCATAATCATAAATAAATTGTTCAGCAGTACCGGCAAAACCAGCAGTCCCAACTTAAAGATGATTGATTTCAGAATGTGCGATAATGTACTGAAACAATTTCTTGCAACTATTTCATGGACAAAGAATAATATCTTTTTTATATCCCGCAATGTTTCAGGAACGTTCACAGAAATGGCAAATAACGTTTTTGGTGGAAATTACGCTTCCAGGAACCAGGGTAATCCTGCAACACCCCAGGCAGCTAGTCCCTCCACCCAATCTTGTGACACTTGTGGCAGGACATCCGCAGATTGCAAGAAATGCACGGGATGTCAACTTGTGTCTTACTGTGACAGGAAATGTCAGAGGAAGGCGTGGCCTTTCCACAAACTTACCTGCAGGCGTGCGTAATGTCATTGCAACAAACATACAACGACCTCGCCGAGTATTAGAGATAGGTGTTGTTTCTTTGTTAAATGGAACTATCCTCATTATGACAAACATTACATGTTCGGCACAGTAAAAAAAAAGTTAATTAACATTATTGATATTCATATGAGTGAGTTTTGATAACTGACAAATGATGTTATTCTATATAGTATCTCCCTTCAGCATATCAGTCTCATGCACATACTCGACTGACCCGTGAAGATCCTTCTATGCTTGTCGTAAAGGGCGACTAACGGGATCGGGTTTTCAGGCTCGCTGAGTCAAATTGATGCATGTCATGGATCCCAATTGTGTAAATCGATGCTCATGGTGTCAATCACTGGACTGTCTGGTCCAGACTCGATTATGTACGCCGCCGTCATATAGCTGGATTATTGCTGAGTGCTGCGTTACACAACAAACAAACAAAACATACTCGACTATTGAAAATCAAACAGACATGTTTGGGTGTATTATTTTCACAATAAATTGTTTGATAGGTATTACTTAGAAGTTGACGGATGACAAGATAGACACAATTTTTATGGATAACAAGTTCTTTAATACTGTGAAAAGCGACGTTTCGGTATAGATCCTTATACCGTTGACAAGCAAGACTGAATGAGGGTACTTACTTACTTACTTTGGAGATATAACGTGCGCTTTCCGACTGATGCGTATGAGGGTTACTTACTTACTTATATTGGAGATTTTACGTGCGCTTTCCGGCCAAGCCATTTAATGTCTTTCCGAAAAAGGGGAAAAAGTTGTTTGGCAATCCAGTAGGGGTGTTTTAGTGGCTGCTTATATAGAATTTTGGAAATTTTGAGATTTGGAAAAAAAGCCAAGAGGGTTTGGGGGGCGAACTAAGGGACCTGAGTATGGAAGTTTGTTAGTTTGATTATGTGGTTTGGTTTTGGTAGTTTATTGGGGTTTTCAATGCGATTTATTAGTCCTGTTTTGATTAAGTATACGCCTAAGGCTTTAAATTTTTCTATTTTATTTTGTGGGTTTAGGATTGCTTCGAGAGTAAGAGCCTTATTTAGATTTAGGGTGGTTTGTAGTGTAGTTCGGTGTGTTAGGTAGTGGGTGCAGTGTATGAGTGCGTGTTCTGGGTTTTCTTGTTATTTGCAATGTGGGCAGGTTCCTGTTGCGTGTTTTCTTATTATTTTGAGGTTGTTATTTAGGTTGGTATGTCCTGTTTGGAGTTTAGTAATTACTCTGTCGATTTTTTTTGGACGGATGTAGAATTTTTGGTTTGGTTAGGGTTTTTTTTTAGAACCTTTTTGATTTGGCTATTTGAGTTTTGATAGATTATGGTTTTTCTGGTGATTTTTTGTTTGTTGACATTTTTAATTTCTGATTTGGAGATGGGTAGGTTTAAGCTTTTTTCTGGGATTTTAAGGGATAGTTTAGCTGCTTAATCAGCGTTTTCATTGCCGTATATTCCTACGTGGGCGGGGATCCAAATGAATACTATTTGTTTCCCTGCCTTAGTTAAATCGTTTGAGCTTTTTAGTATCTGATTTATTAGTTCAGGGCGGTTTTTGGTGTTTTTATTTTGGAGGGCTTGTAGTCCACTGAGCGAGTCGGTAAGTATTAGGATTTTTTGTTGCTTTTTAGATTGTTGATTATGAAGGGCTGAGGCCATGCCCATTAGTTCGGCCGTGAATATTGATTGATTGTTTGGGAGTCAGTAGGATTGTGTGCCTTTAGTTGGTTGTGTGATGTGGACTCCGAAACCTGTGTGTTTGGAGATCGGATCTGAGGATCCGTCTGTGTAAATGTGACACAAATTTGGCCAATTTTCATGTATGTATGCTAGTGTGGTGGTTTTGGCTATGTTTGGGTCGGTATGAGGGACATAGTGCAGAATATATATAGTAGGTGGAGGTTTAACAGTAGAGGATTAACAGTAACAACAATAGCATACATGAGTGGGATAACATTGGTAGGTGTGACAACAAAGTGATGATGTTGTCAAAACACGATGGACAGAAAACACATAGCTGGAAGCCAAAAGGGTCATGAAGCCAATAAACAGGACAAGTGATTATTGTTTGATGAGTTCATAGTAGGCGGGTGGGATGAAATAGCCTTGATCTGTGTTGATTGCTGGCTTTTGGCGGCGAATGTGGACTGCTTCTGTTAGTTTTGTTTTAGTGAAATCATGGAGGTTGTTGGCGAGGATTTGGACGTTGTCCCAGTTGGTGATGTGATTGGGACAGTTGCTTATATGGTCCGAGATGGCTGATTTGCTGTCGGATTTGGTGGTGGAGGTTTTATGCTCTTTGATTCTGTTATTTTCACAATGCTTTCCAATTTGTGTTTTTCGCAACCTCCCTGGAGGCCACCGTTTAATTGCGATTTGTCCACATAAAAAGAAATACTTTGCATGATGAAAACAAAACTGACACAACTCCGTCATTATCAAATGTCGAGTGAACGATTCCGACTGTATGATAAGCGTGTGAATCACTATCAAGTTGTGAACCCGAACAAGCTCATCAATGCTTATCCACAATAACTTCATGTTTGAAATCTAAAGTATTGATTTGGTAAACCTTATGTATTTCTTTGACACATTTACATCTGGAAGTGATATATAATCTTGTGTATTTTGTAAAATGAACACATTTCTTTGGATAATTTACATCTGGAAGTGATCAGTGTACCCTTCAATGTGTGGCGACTCTATTTTTGTATCTAGTCGACGTACATGTAGGAATACCTGTTTATTTACGTTGCTGTTTATTTTTCCTGTTTATTCGTGTCCTTGTACTCCTGCCTGTCACTTGCCTTAATGCAAATTATGCGAGTCGCTTGTGCTACACAGGCTTAAAAAGAAGAGGAACAACTGGTGTCATCACTGATTTTCAGTGATCCATTCATATACTGAACAACAAAAGTTCTTGTGACATTGAATAAGAATAATGCAAAGTTTTTTATACCCAAACAGAAACAATTTCGGTTTGCAATAGATAAAAGACTCCTGAAAGTGGTCCTGACAGTGGTCAAATGGTTTAATTTGCCATACTGACTTCAGAAAATGCGTGATTTCATAAAAAAAACACATTAACATGCCAAAATGTCAATTTACAAATCAATAGCGTGTGGGGGCCCTGTGTCGGTGGAGAAAGGTAGTCTGGTGGTTGAGGGCACTGGTTCCAGAAAAAGCGTTCCTTTGTCCAATACACCACTTCCACCCTGACTTCACCTAGACGGGTGGTAGAATGGGCCCGGTCCTATCCATCCGCTAGTATCCCTGAACACTTATGAGTTTGTACAGATTTGACTTTTTACTTTTGGACTTGGCCAAATTATTTATGTTACAAATCTTGAATTTTGATTGTGAAATATTCCAATTGCCTAGAGTCGTATGCCAATAAAGTGGTGTCTTATGGACCAATCTGGTGAATTGATTGACTTTTGGTTAATCTGCTTGAGTATATCATTCCAATATCCTTGAGGCTGCCAGATGGAGAGCCACTGGCTTACAGAATTGTCCATGTGATACTCCGTGGTGGGTGTGGAGCTGGGATGGTGAACTGTTTACAACTTCACCATGGCTCAACCAAACAATGCAAAACGTGCTTTAGAGTGAGTGAGTGAGTTAAAATTTAACGTCGCATCGTCTTTATATCAGACATATAGCGACGAGAACAAAAGTTAATATATACACAAGTGAGTCATGAATACAAAGTCATAACATTTAAATACCAATTTGTCAAACATATGTGGGTATAACACTGTTTTTTATACATACGATGTAACAGAAGATTATTGATGGGAACTGCTTACGGCATGTGTGACATATGTGAAAAATAATCCGCGTTAGGCGTCGTCAATTACATGGTAAAATAAAACGTTAATCAGGATAAGGAAGCGTCAACTGCATGGCAAATTGTTCCTTTGTCCCATAATTCCTTTGTCTGAAAATTTCCGGATTAGGCAGATGTTACTTGGGGATGAATTAACATTACGGATTTAGAAGCATAAATGGGGTCCGTGTTGACAGAGATTCGGATTAGTCAGGATTTATTATTGACAGATTTATAAACCGTGCTTGTTTAGAAACTTTGATGAGACTGCATACATGTTTTAGACTAATCGTGACCATGTCAACCATGTTCCACGTCAACCAGTCATTTGTTAAGTGTCAACAACAGATTTTATAAACAGATTTGTTTTTTAAACCAACGATGTTTTTGACATTCTTGGATGTGGATTAAAACGGACCAACTCCTTACACAAGAAAATCATCCAGCATGAACTCTTACCCTGACCCATCTGATGATGAGAAGTATGTAATTTGATTCAATGTCTGCCTCATACCTGGCTCCAATAACTATAATAATCAGCTTATTTCATAAACACCACTTTGGTACAATTTAATTACAATTACACTATTACATCATTAATAGTCTATGCCGTATTGATGGAACACGTATTTGACTTAAACGCCAAACCTTAACAGGCGCAGTGGGCTACCAATCATTCATTGTGCACAGCAGCTGTCGTTGCTGATGCAAGTTTTGGAATTGAACTCTCATCGGAGAGCCCAAGATCCCTGCCATGAACCAGACAGAAGATGGGTGATGAGAACGTTATTGGGAGCAAGATGCCCCTATGTGGAGTATCAGTGAGTGAGTGAGTGTTTTACGCCGCTTTTAGCAATATTCCAGCAATATCACGGCGGGGGACACAAGAAATGAGCTTCACACATTGTACACCTGTCGGGAATCGAACCCGGGTCTTCAGCGTGACGAGCAAACGCTTTAACCACTAGGCTACCCGACCGCCCCTGGAGTATCAGACTTATAATTTGAGACTGTCGGAGATTTCACAAGAGGATGCCATGAATATGCATTGTTTCAGTACTTCAGCCTCTTTTATTGAATGTTCATTTTGTTATATTCACATCATTGAGGTCACGTAAGTATATATAACATGTAATGGAACAGTTCAGATCAGTTAAGTCACAATTATCGATTTAATGTTCATATCAATAGTGAGAGTCGAGGAGTCCGAACTTAGTTCAAGATGTCATATCTGATATCGGAATGCGAGGTAAAATGCTAAAACAATTTGTTTTAACTATTCCATGAACAAAGACAATTTACTCTTTGAAATTGTCAATGTTTCAGGGACATTTTAGAGTTGACAGGTGCCTTTCTTGACGGATATTCCGCCTCCAGGAACCACAGTATGCCTCTAACATCTAAGGCAGCTAATTCCTCCACCTGGTCTTGTGACACTTGTGGCAGGACGTCAGCAGAGTGCAAGATATGCACGGGATGTCAACTTGTGTTCAGAGGAAGGCGAGGCCTATCCACAAACTTGTCTGTCACTGTGACAACTATAAAACGACCTCTCCGAGTGTATGAGGCAGAAACTGTTGGTTCTTTGCTATATAGAACTTTTGTCATTATGACAAACATAAATATTTCACATAGTTGAATATAATAGTTAGTTCAGATCATTGACATTCATATGCGCAATGTGAGCAAAAGGCAAATCTTATATGTATAAGTAACTAGTGAACAGATATGAATATTTGGATGTTATCTTTACCATGTATTTTATAATTTGTGGTTTTTGCCACCTTTCTATACGTCATGGTGTAATTGTCCAGATAACTTATAAAACGAAATACATAGCATAAATAGGAGTGCAAAAACTATTTCACTATTAATAAGAATTAGCCGTTTGGGCGGTTCCGACTATATCCTATATATGTGTTTATGAATCACCAGGTGACACCAGGTGTTCGTGAAAAGGTGAGCGGATTCTTCCCCACCGCTGGCTCTCGTCACAAATACATACAAAGGCAAGGCAAGTCAAGTGTTCACCTGAACAAACACATCACAGCTTATCGGCAATTAGAAGCCGTGAAGATCCGGGGCAGAATAGGTCTTCAGCAACCCATGCTGGCCGTAAATGGCGTTAAAACGGGATTAGGTGGTCAGACTCGCTGACTTGGTTGATGGATGTCATCGAATCCCAATTGCGTGGATCGATGCAAATGATGTCAATCGCTGGATTGTCTGGGTCCAGATTCGATTATTTACAGACTGCTGTCATATGGCTGGCATATTGCTGAGTGCGACGTTAGACAATAAACAAACGAATCTAAACAAAACTACATGTATATACCTTGAAGCAATGTAAATGTTGAAGTGATACTGTAATGCATTTTGGATCATTTATATATTTCTTTCATGTGGAAGTGATCAGCATAGCTCGTCCATGAGTGGCGAATTTTGTGTATAGGAGACGTACATGTACGAATATCTGTTTACTTTTGTTTTTTGTTACCCCCTACATAATCATTTTAAGAAAACATTCATTCTTGTGCGATATTTAAGTAATAAAGTGCAATAAACAGAACATCTAAATATTTGAGTGAATGGTTTTCATAAAACTTTATTTCAAAACAATACAATTCGTATCCTATCCGAGATTATAACATTTATACCACTAGAAAGCTAATGTTTAATATGTGTACATGTGACAGAATTTAAAAAGAACAGTGATTATGCAAACATAAGTAAGTCATATTCGATGGTGTAGTCGTCTAAGGCGCCACAATTTGCTCTGCAGAATTGCGTCCCTTTAACGTGCATTCAAAACCTATGATCGCCCGTTTGAACTCGGGTTCACTCTGATTATGATTCTACGTTTATCAGAACCTTATATTGTCGAGCATGCAACGCAAAATTCTGCTAGTTTGCTAGTTAAAATTAGACCATTAGGTTAAAATTACACATGACTTCTTTGTTTGATCCAATGAGTTATTTATTTGTTACTTACGCCTTTGTTTATGAGTTTTGTAAACTGGGGTTTCAGGAAATATTTTGGGTGTTGATCGAAAAGCCTTGTCGAAATCACATATGGATAAGAATGATAGTCATATATTTATTTATTTTACAATAAGATGTCAAATTAAAGAAAATACTTAAATGCTTCTTCAAAATATTATTATGAGTATCGTTCGTTGCTTTTTGGAGAGCAAAGATGCCACTTAATGATCTAGTCTCTGGACAAATGACAATTTAACAGGACGGTAGTTATATAATTCTAGGTAAGGCATGCTGACAAAATTAAGGTTATGTCATGCAACCAACCTTCCTCTTATAAGTTATTGTTTGTGCATTGAAATTATTACCGATGTGTAATCACACGCGCCATTGTCAACATTTGATTTGAACTGTATAAAATATGCACAAGGGTCAAAAGATTCCTCAAAAGACGTACATGTACGCTAATCAATCGGACTTTTCTCTTGTTTGTAAACAAACGTGCTTGTTCAGAAATCAGTATAGAACGGAGTAATGCAATAATTGGGGAGCGCTTTACATATTGTTTTTCATACTTATATAGATATGCTACTACAACTGCGACAGTGAATTGCATGACAATATATATTTATGCATCAAAGTGACCGTATCGCTAGTTCTCCTTTGGGCTTCGATGACAGCACGTGGAGCCGTACAACCAATGTAAACAAAGGATAACTACGCAAAAACAAGTAGATTGTCACGTATTAGCATACTTCCTTAATTAACCGTAACCATTCTTTGACATTTGTTTATGAAAATGTGTAGACTTGTCAATCATGAAACGGATGAAAAGCATATGCAATATCTTGAACGGACTTGAAAGGTGTGACGAATCGTCACATGGCGCTGGCCTGTGTCAGAGGTACTATGCTGGTTGGCTGCCGGCCGCATGGAACTATGGGTAAGAGAGCGGTATATTCTTTAACTTTGTATATCATCTTTCTTATATTTAGTAACATGTTAGCGCCTTACTTGTTGGAAAGTTCGATGTTGACATAGAATAGGTATACAGCAGGTGACTATGCTTGTCGTAAGAGCCGCCTGACGGGATCGGGTTGTCAGGCTCGCTGACTTGGTTGATGCATGTCATCGTATCCCAATTGCGTGGATCGATGCTCATGGTGTCAGTCACTGGATTGTCTGGTCCAGACTCGATTATTTACAGACCGCCGTCATATAGCAGGATTATTGCTGAGTGCGGCGTAAAACAACAAATAAACAAACAAAACAAATATGTAAACCAGAGACACAATGTTCTTGCCAAGACTCGTGAATCATTTGAGACAATTTTCATGTCTACATATGACTGGCTGAGAAATGTTGTTTCCAGAACTGAATCAGAACTTGTCCTTGTGACACTATTCACATTGTCTTCAACATGCGTTGCAGCAACTCCATGGTTTCTGAAACATCAAGTTCACCAGTTGTCACAACTGAGGTGCTTGTGAGCCATATGGGCCATAAAACGTGTTTAGCAATGATTTCGAATGTGTCCAGAATTTTTGTACCTAAAAAAGGTCCAATGTCATCAGTCTTTCCTTACCTACTACATCAGCTGGACTGACATCAGACAGACCTGGCCAGTTCTGGTTGTCCAAATAAGCATATCGTCCTCTCAAGAAGGTCCTCATTATCCACCTCTTGTCCTCAGATTGGTTTTGGATAATACGATGAGAGTTCAGTTCTAGGATCCTAACCAGCAAATCATAACCCTGAAGTTATACAATTATTATGAACTATGTATCAGACGTGCTAAATATAATTATTTCAAAAAAGTCATTGAACATGCACATATAAACATACTGTGTTTTCAATGTATAATAAGGTTACTTGTAGATTTAACCGTGCTAAATGAAGCCGAACGCGTATTCTACCATGACAAAATTGAACGCAAAATCTGTGGGGTAGGGAGGATATTGATTCAGTTCAGTTCAATCCAATGATTTTAGCGGGCAGACAACCTTAATCAAGGATACACCGATAATATCCTTTAAACAGAGTAAGGCGCCATATACGCTCAAAGGCACGGGTGGTCCAGTTGTCTGAGGCGCCGCGATTCGATGTGCAGAGTTGCAACCCTTGAGCACGCCAGAAACCTATGATTGTGGGTTCGAATCCCGATTCGCTCCGATTATGTTTCTAGGTTTGTCAGCACCATACCCGTGCTCGTGGGTTTCATCGAAGTGGTAAACGTCTGAGACCTGCATCACTTCGGGCTTTTTTCCCACATAAAGCCGACATGCCGTGATATAACTGGAATACTGTTAAAAGCGACGTAAAACCCAACTCACTCCTTACCCGCACACCTGATAGGCATTTGAAGTGTGTAACATCTACTTCCTAAGCCAACACGTGCGAAGATGTGTTTTCACTGCACAACTTGAACTGTCGTGTATCGGGAGTCATTTCATGAATTATTTTTAGTCTATCTATCGCCAAAATAAAGCGACGCAGCCAAGATTCATAGCTGTAAAGTCAAATCGTCATTGTTAATGTGTTACATATCAAACGAAACGTGAGTTATAAGTACATGTATCTATTACAGATCTGCTCACAATGCTGCTCTCACCTGAGTCAAGTGAACAGAGTCGACAGGGTCCATTTCCCGATAATCACTTAAACGTGCATAGAAAGGTGCAAGTTCAGAAATGGCAACTTTCTGCTGTTCTACCAGTACTTCAGCTTTGTCAAAGTCAAAAAACTCCAAAATCAGTGTCGGCATATTTTCGTGCACTTTTAAGCCTTTCAGGTGAAATCTGTTGTTGGCTCTCTGCGATGGGTTGGTCAGATAAGAAGCTCCGATTTTGACAAGTGATGGTACCTTGAAATCAAAATGAATGGAACAACCTCGAGCCAATCACAATATAAAAACCATAAACATCTTTGCAAATTAAAGAATCATATTCATTGGTTTCCTTGAGTATCAATGTCAGTTGTGAACCACTAGTAACGAACATTAGCTTGTTCGTGTTGGTTTAAAACTGTTTAACTAATTTCTTGACTAATTACTGAAAACGTACACCTCAACCATATACATTGTATGTTGTCATATATTTTTTTAAGACGCACACTACGAAACTTTTATCATTTTCTTTTAAAGGTATTTTTCCATATGGTTGAATAGACATTATACGTTAAACTATATTTTTCACCTCATACAAAATCCGTTCCACAATAGAATCTGTATCTTGAAAATGTGCAATAGATACAAGAGACACAACCTGTCCATATTAATAAGAAATGTCCAGTGTATGATTCATGTGACTATATCATAAGCATGTGTTTATTAGTCATGATACAAGGTGTTCACGAAACGGTGAGAGTATCCGACCCGTCACCACCACATGCCTGAGAGCCTGAAGAAAAGTGGTAACTGCTTGGTGGACGGAGAAGAGACACCACTGTTGGCGTACTGCTCGACATGAATTGACAGTTGTCTGTTGGACAGTTGAAAAGTCATCTCTCTTGTCATACAGTCATGTGGAGAGTTTTTGCTACTCTAAATCTTTCTGAATTAGATCTAAATACAAACCAGATGAGCATTCTTATATTTCTAGTTTGGGGGTAAATCAGTGGAAAGGACTCGGCTATATGACAGTTATATCAGATCATCGATATACCTGAAACTTCAGCTATGCATAACAAACAGATCAGCAAGGAGGAGAGCAACAATTGGTACCAATGGGTCTGCCTTCTTCTTGCCAACATTTTAAATAGATGATATTTAAGTCCAACATTTCACATATTGTTTTCTCAGTAAACTTCAGATGACATTTGCTTTCATTTCTTAAAAATCTGATATCTCTATCTTCAGACTCACTTTTCTGAAATTACACTTTTCTGATTCTGAGCAACTTTGAGATTTCATATGTACCAATTCTATTCGTCTCAAATGCCTTCTGTGAATTTAAAGAAAGTCCTTCCTTGATATCTTGAAGTTTTTGGTTAGTCTTTGAGACAGAGTTGTTGCGGTACATTTGCTGGACCCGGCAATATATCTTCCTTTGTACGGGTTTTCTTATGTATCTCTGGAATCCAGTACAACAGAGGAATGGACATGCCTTTTAGAGTTAAGCAAACCGTTGATAGTACTGATGCGTGGTTCTTGTAGATTACTTCCTCAGTTAACACACTGGCAATAAATATGTCATTATTTGTCATATCTCTTTCCAAAAAGTTGTTTGATCAATCAATAATATGTTGTGATGCTTACATATAATGGTTATATTTTTCGAGGCCTGGGGGTAGCACAGTGGTTAAAGTGCTTGCACGTAAAGTCGTTCCTGTGATTACATGACCAACGGGTTGGTCGTAGTATAATAAGCCTTGGCAGCCTCAAATAGTGGAAATTATATCAAAAGCTGCCATGCCCACGTTCTGTACACCTTCTTATAAAGAAACAAGTTGGAAGAAGTGGTGTTCGCACAGGAGAACAAAACTATTGGTGGTTCTTGAAAACTTGAAAGATTATGGGACACATCATTTTGATTTGACAAGTTTTTCATACAGGAATGTTTTACTTTCGGAAGTACACTGTATCTGTAATGTCCCATCGGCTTGTCTTTAAAGTGGAGTTATTTCACTTCATTAAAAATAGCAAAACAAAAACTTATGTTCTGTCAGCAGGATGCATATCGTCTGATGATTTGGGTCGCGGGTTTTCTTGGATCGCGACAGAGACGACAATCAAATAAACTCTTCGCTACAGTGAGTGCTTTAGTCCCGTTCTTGTTACAGCTTAGTTGATATAACCAACATAAAACTGTCAACGAGGACCCATCCAATCCCATCTGTTTAGTGTTGATGAAGAAGAGCTAATGTCAATGTCATTTCAAAATTTTTATAAAACTTTATGAAAATGCAAACGGAGACAAATGGAATTTATCAGGAATGTTCAACGTCATGTCAAACCTTTAATAGCTTGCATGTGTGATTGTTTCCTTTCATTCAAATTGTTCAAATGGCGAGTGTTATCGGAAGGGCAGGACATGTTATCCTTTTCGCTAACACCTGTTGTCGTCAGTGATTTTATATGGTTTTTCATATAATATTTCACAGCTAATTTGCCCTTTGCTATGTTTCGGCAGATAATCCGACTGGTTATTCTCTTTGATTGACAATACATATATACTTTTACCATGATTAGAAAGGGTACTTCATATTAGACACAGCGTTACTTTCAAGTTTAAATGCATCTGAGACAATGCGATTGTAAATCATAACAACATGTTTTACCCAACTCATGCTACACGATTCATGAAGAACTGTCCAACATGCTGCGGCAGCAAAACCTGACATAGTAATGTTCAGAAATGTGAGCGCTGGTGCAAAGAATACATATTAGTCTAGACTACTTCAACTACCACTTGCTGATTTTAGACTTAAGATAAGTACAAGTTATTACGTGATGATCAGACAGAGAGTCTAGAAACTAATCAAACAGATGCTGGATGATCTTGATTGTTTGTAGTTGTTACATTATTCTTTTCATGAATAAAAGCAAATAATGTTGGTGCCTGGATAAATTTATAACAGTAGAATTGATGATAAATTATTGGTTCCAGAAGGTTCTATTTGGCAGTGTAGTAGGGTCCTGAAACTTTTCATTTCACATTCACAATCTTTAATATCATAGGTGCTCGGTGTTAGCTTGTATCACAACACACCAGTCGTCATAAGACTAACATTGTATATCAATATAATTTACAAGAAACAAATACTTACCCCAGATGATTGAGGAATATTCTTAAAGAGGTAGCCTATAAGCAGCTGAAGCTGTTGAACTGGTGATGTTGTATCAATAGTGACTGATGGGGGCGTCAGTTGTTCTAAATATTTGTCAATGACAGATTCCCCATACTTTGAACGAGGGAAATCGGGGAGACCAGCTGCTGAATCCAGCTCGAGTTTCTTCCAGGGTAGCACGCGTTCACCAACTGTTATATTCACGTCCTTGACGAGAAGAGCGTCTACTGTTCCTTTCTTCCTCGACAGTGTTATCTTGCAGGAGTTGATTGAGATGCCACAGGAAAGACGTAATATCTTTTTAAAGCTTGGGTGCCTGAGGAACATCAAAGGACTATTTCACTAATGAATGCCATCATACGTACATCACATATAATTCTCGACTAGGATCTACATGATGACTTTACGTTAGAAACAGCATTATGTTAACGTGAATAAGAAGTTTTCTGCATGTCATTATGACTGTGACAAAAGAGTCCTTTCCAACTTTGAGGAGAAGTGTATAAATGTGCCTGTTTCTTTCCATAGAAATAAAATTCCCTCTTACCCATGCTGGGTGTTGATCAGCACTACAACATGTGGATCCCCTCTAAGATGATCTATTGTGAACTTCCCTTCTTTCAGGCATTCTGGATCAGTTGTGATGATCACCTTGTAGTGGTCGATGTACTCAACTATGGTCTGTAGCAAATACATGTATAACTCTGTTAAATTACCAGATTATATTGTCTAACTCGGGATATTTATCATCAAATGTTTCTGATCACCTAAGATTAATATTATATTTGGAATACATTTCCATACGATTTTATGATTGAAATTTTATTTGATACATGAAAGATTGAACATAGTGGTAGTAAAACATTTCACTTACCCTTCGTTTTGACGACGAGCTTGCGGTGTTCGTTGATAGTTCATCTGCATTTGACTGCTTCATTACTATTTGGAACAAAGGGTAATTAGTACTCTTTAATTACTTTGGAGTTTGTGCATATATAATCAACCAATTTCTCATCACCAGCATTATTCATAACTTTCAACATGCACGTATATGAAGCAAGGCAAGACAAATATGGTCAATTGTGGGAAAGTTCCCTAATATTCAAAGGAGTAGTGAGAATGAAAAACCATACTATTCATATTTCTTGAAATATTTTGCTCAATAGTATTGTATTAGTATATATATGACAAACTGATACAATGTGGCTGATACATTGACCATCATTGTGAGTATCCCAAGCATTAAAGAAGAACCCCATCAATGTCATTTCCAAATTGCAATACATTGAAAATACTTTGACTTTCATTGTCAGACTGTCAATACACATCACCACTACCCGATTGAGCATGGACCATTGATCATACATGAATGACGTGTCTGTACATATAATCCTTAAACAAATGTCAAATTTGTCACAATACTACTTATGAATTGGAAAGAAATGACAGTGACCTTGAAAGTTTTACCAATTAACCATATGATTTGTTGATCCGGGGTAGAATAGGTCTTCAGCAACCAATGTTTATCGTAAAATGCGACTATGTTTGTCGTAAGAGGCGACTAACGGATCGGGTGGTCAGGCACGCTGACATGGTTGATGCATTTCATCGATCACAACAGCAACCCATGTTTGCCCTTAAAGGCGACTATGCTTGTCGTAAGAGGTGACTAACGGGATCGGGTGGTCAGGCACGCTGACATGGTTGATGCATGTCATCGATCACAACAGCAACCCATGTTTGCCCTTAATGGCGACTATGCTTGTCGTAAGAGGCGACTAACGGGATCGGGTGGTCAGGCACGCTGACATGGTTGATGCATGTCATCGATCACAACAGCAACCCATGTTTGCCCTTAAGGGCGACTATGCTTGTCGTAAGAGCCGCCAGACGGGATCGGGTTGTCAGGCACGCTGACTTGGTTGATGCATGTCATCGTATCCCAATTGCGTGGATCGATGTTCATGATGTCAATCACTGGATTGTCTGGCCCAGACTTGATTAATTACAGACCGCCGTCATATATCCGGAATATTGCTGAGTGCGGCGTTAAACAACAAACAAAAGAAACAAACAATGGCGTTGATCGATGCTCATGATATCAATTACTGGATTGTCTGGTCCAGACTCGATTATTTATAGACCGCCGTCATATAGCTGGAATATTGCTGAGTGCGGTGTTAACCAACAAACAAAATGTTGATAAACTTAGCACTAACTACCATTGATTATTTTGTATGGAATCCTTATACAGTGAATCGCAAAAGGGGTTGGTATTTCTATTAAAATATTCATTGTATACAATATGAAGCAGTAATGATGAGTATTCAATTTAACATACCTTTACTGATTCCCTTAATTCTTTTAACGACTTTTTCTCTTGTTTCCACATCAAAGGCTGATGGTTGTACTGTTCTCAAGATGCCTGCTACTTCATCAACCATACTTGGTTTGAGCAACTTGTCAAGGGCAACTGACACTGCATCTGTGCCTTTAGCATATCATGTTATAATCTATATAATCTATATAATCTATATATCTCCAAGAGGACAGAATGGTTGTCAAGAATTTGATGGGGGATCAATGTAGATGACAGATGCCATTAGGTGTTTGAGGTTCAACTCCGTCCTCCTAATTAAGTACATAGAGAATACTACACTCATTCTCGTTAGATACCATAGAAAGTTCACGAGTTTCGTAAAACGAGAATGAGTGTGGTATTTTATTTATTACTCACGTTAAATATATATTAACGCGTAAATACATAACAACTTTCGTTCGTTGACAGACCAAACTGAAACCGGTTGCAAAATCTGGACGCGCATGAATATTGATATATGCCCAAATATGGGCATTATTGACATTTCTATGCATCCGCATTAACAACATGCGCCTGCAGTTGGGTTTGCAAACAAAACAGCACCGACGCTCAAGATCCTTTTGGAATAAATTCTTCAACTAATGGTAATTCAAGCGCCATGTTGTTAGTACGAAGGACACCTATAAGAAAATTTGAAAAGTCACATTAGCGCCGCGCTTTGAATATCGGACTAGGCCTAACAGTCGGTCACTCGCACTGTCGGTGTCCCGTGTGTGCAATCCAAATGGTCCGGTGTACCTGATCTATCAGCTGAATTCATATCATGTTCGTGCCATTTTGGGAGAGGGGAATTAGAGTTTTCAACAAAGACATTCATGTTAATTGCACCAACCTCTACTGAAGATTTGAATATAGAAAAACTCAAGTCTGCTTACATGTCAGTGAAAGCTTCGAACGATCGAAGGGCAAGGTCACCACCGGAATAAGAAAAGACAACCGTGATCTACTCACAGCGTTTCGCGATAGAGATAGGGAATGTTATTGTTCACATTTGGGATGTTTGGGGCCACAAAACCAGAATTCGGTCACACTTCCACGGAGTTTTCGAATGATTTGTATCAGAACTGTTCACTTTTATTGATCTGGTCGTGCAGTCGTGTACGTTCATTCATGAACAACACCTCCCGAAACATCGCCACAAAATACGCTTCGAATGGGACACTGATAGCACAACCGGATCATCCCAAGTAAGTCTAGATATCTGTCTAGATAGTTTAAACTGACTTTATTTCACCACGCTTATCTTTTTACGTTAAATCAAATTGAAAGTTGCGACAGTGGTCTGGTGCGTCACGCTGATGTGACCCTCGCTCTATTGATCGGTAGTCGTACATTGTAAATGTATATAGCTCGATTATATAATGTCTGTAGAAGTTTTATGCATAACTTATACATAATGCAAACCAATTTTGATGCGTGTGACTATATTGTATGGTTTAATAAAGTGTTTGTAGATATCTCTCGTTCTCATTAATTTCTTCAGTTCTGCCTTGTAGTTGCAAAATGAATGAAGTCTCCCGATTTTTTATGAATGAAAAAAGTAGTCCCGGTGTGACAGAGGTCACGGTTTTCCAATCAAAACGAATAAAACAAGGTCAACCTTGTACGACACACGTGTGACGTACAGATTTAGTATCTTACCACCTGTATCTTCACCACGTGGGTAATAAACATCGATATTATTTGATAAAAATTGATATGAATAACAGACTGACTATATCATATCCCGGTTAGGGTGGTGGGTTATATTTTGGTCACTGGTCCAAATATACATTTTGTTCTGAAAGGAGCTGACGAATATTTTTTTCTAGTATTCTTTGGAACTGTAATTCAAACATATTCCAGTCTTTCAATATCAGCTGACCCTAAGATGTATCACATGCATATTAGATAATAACGGAAACTTTTATAAGTTAATGTTTAATGTTTTTGCCTCTCCTAAACAAGCTTGGTTCGATCCGCAATGTGAACAGTGTTGTTGTACTATTTTTTCTCTGAGCAATAATGTGGAAGTGCAGGTCATTTAGAAACAATCTCAGAGTGTAACAGTACCATTTCAGTTGAAAATTATTCAGACACACAACCCGTTCTTTATGTGAGTGAGTGAGTGAGTAAGGTTTTACGCCGCTTTTAGCAATATTCCAGCAATATCACGGCGGGGGACACCAGAAATGGGCTTCACACATTGTACCCATGTCGGGAATCGAACCCGGGTCTTCGGCGTGACGAGCGAACGCTTTAACCTCTAGGCTACCCGACCGCCCCCCGTTCTTTATGTAATTCCACTGTAACTTAAACACTATCATATACATGTATAAGTGCTGCAGAAGAACATACCATCTTGGAGGATCGTGAGTTCTGAGAGTTCGGTCTCGTCACGTCCAACTTTCCACATCAAGTATATCATTGTATTTCCAACAGAAGATCCAGAGTCTGGGATACTTCTGTTAAATGTAAATAGATGGAACGCAATAGGAATACAACTATGAGAGGGAGCAAGCAGTAGGTTTGATAAAAAAAAAATGTATCGTATAGTTAATATTGAGAATATTGGTAATGCTGAATCATTTTGATACATTTTCCCGAACATAACAATCGTCAGGTTATGCGTCATATTTCTTATTCTCAAATACGTGCTCAACGAAAGAATTGCGGGAAAATGGATCAAGATATGTGAAAAAAATTCTTATGTAATTGTCTCTACTCACTCGTGTCCAATTATTAGTTCTTCTGCCAGGTGAAATCCAAATACTGTTGGATACATCAACACAGAAATGTCAAAGCAGAGACGTAAGTAATGCATCACGGAAGATGCATGTTTGTTCCAGTGAAAGATTTGTGTACCCACGATTCCATCAGGCCTAAACGGAAACAAGTGGAGTTCAGCTCATACATGGGTACACAATAGATACATGTCCACTAACGTGAAATCCAGCTTTACAACAGCATTGCAATGTAAAAGTGAAAAACACAAGAACATTATGAAAAAAGGACCATACGGTTTAGCATATCAAGAAGCAACAGCATTTACCATGTTATCTCACCTTTTCAGTTTATTTCGGCAGTAGGTCAAAACAGGTATGAGACCAAGGCAATCCACGATGTTGGAGGTGTCTATGAAGTCAAAATGGAGATTTATAGGCAGGTCTGTGTCGCAAAGTACAGTCGCCTCTCCTTGCCAGAGATGAATCTACAAGCAACGGAACTATTATTAATATTTAATCCATAATAATGTTTACGTTGACAGCAGACGTACATTTGTAGACAGACGCTTTAGTCGTCTGGACATAGAAACATACCTTGATTATGCACCCCTCCTTAATGGCCGCCTGATAACTTTCCACCCACTGCTTCATTATTTCAAGACACAGAGAAGACATCGTGACATGTTTCCCGTCGTATCTGATAAAGTATAATATTTAAAAGTGAGTGAGTGAGTGAGTGAGTATGGTTTTACGCCGCTTTTAGCAATATTCCAGCAATATCACGGCGGGGGACACCAGAAATGGGCTTCACACAATGTACCCATGTCAGGAATCGAACCCGGGTCTTCGGCGGGACGAGCGAACGCTTTCACCACTAGGCTACCTGTCCGCCCCTATAATATTTAAAAGATCACAATATTGGTTAATTGAAAGATATATGAATAAGATATTCGAAGTAGGTGTAGAAATGCAACGTCTATGTAGGTACAAATATTTAAACTAATTTCACGATTCACGACATATAAGCATAGTTATATACATAATCACGAGAGCTGTTCATAGGTTCGGGTGTGTCTATCTATCCTGATAACCTACAGAGCAGTTACTTTACCTGTCAAGTTGAAGGGCCACATTAAAGCACATTAGTGGACAACAATTGTCTTCTACTTTCGACATGCCTTCGTAGCCAGGCCTGAAGAATGTCATGTTGCCATGAAACTGTTCAACGACACGCTTTGATGACAGTGGAGCTGAGTTGATTCTCGACACACCAGTCATCACATATTCCCGAACTTCTTGATCGTACCTGTGAAGACACAATTACCTGGTTCAAATACCTTATAATTGACTGAAGTCTTTGATATGGAAAAGATGTGCAATGTCACCGAGTGTTTGGTTTGGATCAAATGTTAGAAACAGTGTGTTGTTCTCAAACATCAAAGCTTTTGTTATAAGCAAATGTTGAAATAAAAATCACCTTTCTTTTAGACGAGGGGTTGACATCAACTGATCACACATATGTGTCACCCTGGATGCGATCCTCTTTACAGCTGCATCGGGGAAATCGTCTGTGTACCTCTCCCTTATGAAAGCTTCTCGCTTGTCATTTGTCAATTTACCACTGATGGATTCAACCTTCAGCATGGACTGCAGAGCCTCCTTAATGCAGATTTCAGTGTGTAAATTTCCAAAATAGAAGTCAAAACTACTTGTCGGAATAGTTGACAGTTCTTTCATCAGCTGCTTCAGTCTCTTCGTGTGATCCGGGGACAAAAGACAGTCGTACCAGGTTCCCCACATGAACTTCAAATCTTCAGCATTTGCAGGATCAATGGTTTGAACTAAGTACAATAAAATCATATTTCGTGCCAAGACACCATTTTCAATGTCATTCAGATGAATGTTAATCGTTTGACCTTTTGACTTTGTGGTGCCATCTTTGTGCAACACGTGCAGGGTGTGCAGGACATTTCTGATGTCACCGCACCCAAGAAACAACATCTCACATTCGTCAGCAACTTTGCAGCCATGGGTGATGTCAACTGATCTTGTGTTCCCAACAGGATAATAAAACTCCAATGGACTGAGTCTTATTCGTCCAAAACGCTCCGCCATATCTTATCACATCTGAAACACTGAAATTTAAAACATGCCAATACGAATATCAATCCGTTATTCATCATAAATAAGCATCATCATTGATTCTGCAATGAAAGAAGGGGGGTCTAAAGGGTCCAATAATACTAACAGTTAACATTCTTTCACAATTCGCTGCTTCACTTCAAGCCTTAAGGTGGGTTTACGGATATGATCATGAGGCAGTTAGATTCACTGATTTCATGGCAGCTGTAAAGGCAATTGAATCAGATGTCAATGGTTCTTGAAGTGATATTGTTTTTGAAGCATTAAAGCTGGATACATTTTTTAACTCAAAGTATATATTACATGTGATAGTGTGTGGATCCCAGCTTATGCCGGGCTGCACGGGAAGGCGATGGCAGACTAACTTGCAAAATCGGGCTTCCAAAATCATGAGGTTATGATATCTGAATTTGGACCCCAACCTAATGATTTCGGCTTCATTTTAGCTAATTCTTTCACCAGAAGGTAGCAATTACAGTTGTGGGACGCTCGGACTGCTGGCTGACATATGGACACAGCTAGTCTTGCTAAAACCAATAGGACAATTCGTCGACAAATGAAAATTGAGGAGTCATAATTATAAGATTTCGTCTTGGATACTGTGAGTTAAATGCTTACCGAAGTGGCATTGATGACTAGATTCTCCTGTATGTACGAAAGCCAAATGGTGCCACTTTCGTAGCATAATTTAATTTTTTCAATCGACATTTCTCGTTATTTCAATTATTTGTTTATTGTTTCGAAATTTGGACTTTTTAGTTGTTAACTTCGGCTATGTGTTCGTCATTTGATTTTTTTTTCGTTATTGTATGTATTTCAAAAACTAAAAAATTTCGAGTCTTTTTCTTTGCTTCGATTATTTTGTTTAGTAATGAAATTTGTTATTGATAATTAATGATCCCTACATTAGTTCCGTCAACCAATGGTTGGTACATGCATGCTTATCAATAATAGCTGTTATGGAGTTATAATGGAACAGTGCCTGATAAAGAATAAATCGGGTACATCCGTTATCAGAGACCAGCTGACTGAACGCGCCACACATAGTTGTGTCGATACCTGGACAGTGATAGACAAAGTCCTGACATATTTCCAGGAAAGAAACCACGAGGAACGTAAACTGAAAGTATAAACCATGTTGTTCTTCTTTCTACCCTTACAATCAATTTATACATACAAAAACATGTACAAATGACAAATACAAATTCAACTGTTACCATTACTCCTTTAATTACTAGGGTGAAGTTGTGCATGGACCATTCAGTAACATAGTAATCATACAACAAAGGCTGTTTTCAATTTATGTTATCCGGTTTACGTTAATAAAACGATTATTGTTACACTCTGGCATACTGAAGGCAGTGTATAACATGCATATCTCACACTGTGTGTTCACTACATTGACAATAAGCATCGTGGTCAAGCTAATGATTTATAACATTGGTTTTATTACAGGAAGAAAATCAACTTTCGATATGAGAATCACTAACAACAAGCGGCATATGGGGTTGACGTTTTATATTCTTACTTGTACATGTTGCTGTACCTACGTATAGTTACTCCAGATCCCGTCCTGATATACAGGGACTTTCTTCTTACATGTACATGTTGCTGTACCTACGTATAGTTACTCCAGATCCCGTCCTGATATACAGGGACTTTCTTCTTACATGTACATGTTGCTGTACCTACGTATAGTTACTCCAGATCCCGTCCTGATATACAGGGACTTTCTTCTTACATGTACATGTTGCTGTACCTACGTTAAGTTACTCCAGATCCTGTCCTGATATACAGGGACTTTCTTCTTACATGTCCATGTTGCTGTACCTACGTATAGTTACTCCAGATCCCGTCCTGATACACAGGAACTTCTTACTTGTACATGTTGATATACAGGAACGTACATATTGCTGTATCTACGTATATTTACTCCAGATCCTGTCCTGATATACAGGGACTTTCTTCTTACATGTACATGTTGCTGAACCTACGTAAAGCTACTCCCGATCCCTTCCTGATATACAGGAACGTACATATTGCTGTACCTACGTATAGTTACTCCAGATCACGTCCTGATATACAGGGACTTCTTACTTGTACATGTTGATATACAGGAACGTACATATTGCTGTATCTACGTATATTTACTCCAGATCCTGTCCTGATATACAGGGACTTTCTTCTTACATGTACATGTTGCTGTACCTACGTAAAGCTACTCCCGATCCCTTCCTGATATACAGGAACGTACATATTGCTGTACCTACGTATAGTTACTCCAGATCACGTCCTGATATACAGGGACTTCTTACTTGTACATGTTGATATACAGGAACGTACATATTGCTGTATCTACGTATATTTACTCCAGATCCTGTCCTGATATACAGGGACTTTCTTCTTACATGTACATGTTGCTGTACCTACGTAAAGCTACTCCAGATCCCTTCCTGATATACAGGAACGTACATATTGCGGTATCTACGTATAGTTACTACAGATCACGTCCTGATATACAGGGACTTCTTACTTGTACATGTTGATATTCAGGAACGTACATACAGTCCTTGTTTTAGCCCCTTTAATGCCGAGCGCCAGACAGGGCAACAACAAGTACCATCTTTTAACGTCTTTTGGTATGACGCAGTCGGGGACAGAACCCCGGACCTTCCGCTCTCAGGGCGGACGCTCTACCGCTAGACCACGGAGGCGGTCCTGATATACAGGGACTACTTACTTGTACATGTTGCTTTCTTCTTACTTGTACAAATTGCGGTATCTACGTATAGTTACTCCAGATCACGTCCTGATATACAGGGACTTCTTACTTGTACATTTTGCTGTACCTACGTATAGTTAATCCAGATCCCGTCCTGATATACAGGGACTTCTTACTTGTACATCTTGCTGTACCTACGTATACTTACTCCAGATCCCGTCCTGATATACAGGGACTACTTACTTGTACATGCTGCTGTACCTACGTATACTTACTCCAGATCCCGTCCTGATATACAGGGACTACTTACTTGTACATGCTGCTGTACCTACGTATAGTTAGTCCAGATCCCGTCCTGATATACAGGGACTACTTACTTGTACATGTTGCTGTACCTACGTATAGTTACTCCAGACCCCGTCCTGATATACAAGGACTTCTTACTTGTACATGTTGCTGTACCTACGTATAGTTACTCCAGATCCCGTCTTGATATACAGGGACTACTTACTTGTACATGTTGCTGTACCTACGTATAGTTACTCCAGATCCCGTCCTGATATACAGGGACTTCTTACTTGTACATGCTGCTGTACCTACGTATAGTTACTCCAGATCCCGTCCTGATATACAGGGACTTCTTACTTGTACATGTTGCTGTACCTACGTATAGTTACTCCAGATCCCGTCCTGATATACAGGGACTACTTACTTGTACATGTTGCTGTACCTACGTATAGTTACTCCAGATCCCGTCCTGATATACAGGGACTTCTTACTTGTACATGTTGCTGTACCTACGTATAGTTACTCCAGACCCCGTCCTGATATACAGGGACTTTCTTCTTACATGTTTCTTCTTACTTGTACATGTTGCAGGTCCGCTCGCTTTGTTTGGGTGTCGTGATATTTTTGTGGTGTTTTTTATGTCTGTGTGAGTGTATGACATGCTTATTATTTATATACCCTCATGGCACGTCTATTATATGAGATACTACTTGGTCATAGAAAGCTAATCTTCAGGGTCAACCATTCTAATTCTAAAACTCCGTTATTGATTCAATGAAGATTCGCGTTCAGTATTGTAGTGAACAGTGAAATTAGCATACGTATACTTACGTATCTACGTACCTCATATATGGCTTTCGAATGCTCTCTAACATTGATCAAACAACTTTGAGCAAGAGCCGTATGGCCTCTATGAATTTCACACAAGTGTTTTGTGATATGTGAGCTGAATACATAGCCCACTTGCACAACAAGCCTACTGCTCTGTCGACGAGGTTAAACTCTTGTTCAAATTTAGGTCGGATATGAATCGATATATGCATATCGCATTCAGCTTGATAGACTAAAACCAGGTGTGAACACCTGGTGACATAACTGATTTTCAGTGATCAATTCATATACTCTACATCACTAAGATCGTATTTGCCCTCCATGCCCTATGTCTTACGTTGTGACGGATAATCGAAACTGATTATTCTCCATTGTTGACGTTTAGAGTTATATTGTCGTGACTGGGTGTAGTATTGAAACCACAGAAACCGAGTAGATGAGATTATGCTTGAAATATGTTTAGAATTCTTACCTTCCTGAAGAAATGTCACACACCTTTTCCCACTGCGTGATATACTTATCTGTTGCTCATGAAAAAAGCTGTTCTTTTCTTGGAAATTGGATGTCAGTTTCCTAGTTTCGTTTTGGATAAGAGAGATAACTCTACGATTTGCCTAACGAATAGGACAAAGTACTCCCTATTATAATAATTTATGCCACAACTGCATCTGTTATTAAGAATGGATGGTTAAGATTATTTTGGGGTACCTTCATACGGGTCACATACAGCTGGTCTGTGTCAGTGCCAGCTAAAAACACCCGTTATCTAGAAATCGACTGACTCAACACACCATACCTAGTTGTGTCGATACCTGGACAGTGATAGATAAAGCCCTGACATGTTTCCAGGAAATAAACCACGTGGAACTTAAACTGAAAGTAGAACGGTGTTGTTCTTCTTTCTACCCTTCATTCAATTCACACATGAAATACATTTACTAATGAGTGAGTGAGTATGGTTTTACGCCGCTTTTAGCAATATCCCAGCAATATCACGGCGGGGGACACCAGAAATGGGCTTCACACATTGTACCCATGTCGGGAATCGAACCCGGGTCTCCGGTGTGGCGTGCCAACGCATTTACTAATGACAATACAAAGTACACGTATTACAGTTGCTATTAATCCTTGAATTACTAGGATTAAATGGATCATTCAGTAACATATTCAGTTACAACTACTTTAATGAAGTAACAAATTCTTTAGTATACTGTCAAAGTGACGGTTTGATACAGATCCTTATACCGTTGTCAAGTAAGGATTTACATTAATGCAGAGATCAGTGTTACACTCTGGCATACTCAATACAGTGCATCACACGCATGCCTCACACTATCCGCTCACCATAATGACATATGCTTCGTTGTCAAGGGAGAGAGAAACAACATCGATCTTTTTTGTGTTCACAGAGAGAAAATCAGCCTTCTTGCTAGGAACAATTGAAAGTGACGGAGTATGTTCGATGCGTTTTGATGTGCAATTAGTAATAATCACATCCAAGACGGCAGTTCGAAACAACAATTGGTTCAAGTTTTCATTTGTGGCAACTTTGTATTATTCGTTACTATATGTATACGGTGGATTTCTTCTTCCGTGTAATGTTGCATTGCCTCCAAGGGGTTACTCCGGACGCCCTCCTCGCTTACACTGACTTTCTTCTTACTTGTACAAGTGCCTACAGATAGGCCTAGATCCCCTCGTGACGTACGACGTGCCTGCTGTACCCTTACAAACATAGTCTCACACATAAACAGGTAGCCAGATGCAGTTACTCCCCTCATAACATATACAGTCCCATACAGGAAAAGAAGTGATCTATTACCTCTACACTCAATGCCGTTGAAATAGCCAGGGGATGTTGGGAGTGTTCAACACGTGTTCGTGAAACTTGTTCCCGCAGTACACAAGCACTTGCTTTGGTAATACACAATGTGTAATACTGCTGTATGTTTATTAAACGAGCGATCTCTTCACCGGTAAGTAACACATATATATATTTCTGATACGTCATGTGGTAAAGAACGTAATGAAATCGTTATTACTGACTTTATTGACCAAAATACAAAAATGGAAAATAACCATTGGTTACTCAAACAGAAGTTAAAGTTCCAGTATGGGGTCCACACTGTGAAGGCACATACTGGTATCATTGCATACGTGTATTATTCATGGTGATATTTGCTTGATTTGTCATACACTCATTTTTATTAAATGTGTTTCACCTGTTCTTCAAATATTTTAAAGCAAGTCTTGAAGTAAAATTAACATCATTGTTTGTATACACAATTTGGGCCTCCAGAACGTTCTAAAATATTTTTAGGATCCAGGCCTTCCGCCATACCATTAAAACATTTTACTATCAACCGGATATCCAGATGATCATCTAAAACTTGACTGACAAAAAAATCAAATACACACAATTCAACTTCCTGCTTTACAGTGTGTAATACAATTTGAATGTAAACATTTTATTTATATTCCTAACTGAATACATTTCAATGTTCCTTTAGCAGATTCGTTTGCAAAATAATGATTTGGGTCACAATGGAGTATCAATACCTATGTAATGTTCGGGTATAGTATTAGTTGTGGACGCGAGGGAAGCATGGTGTGCTGTAATGTGTGTGCGAGTTTATGTACTCCGAGCCGGAAGTCGAGGCGAACATAGCCTCGCTCACGGTGTACAGCAACACTGTCTATATACGCCGAGGGACCGGTTGACAACGAATTTATTTTACAGCCCCCATGTCTTCATCAGTATGGCTAACTATTGATAGCTAGCAGGCGGCACAAATTCATTCAGATTTATAACCCTTGTATTAAAATCGGATATGATCGCTTAGTTTCTCTGAACTGCATTTCATGGGTGTTCAGTTTGATATAATAGTATTATGTCATTGTATTCGCATTTGTAAGAAATTTTGCATTCACAGCTACGTACATGAACTTTGTACCTTATCTGCCTGCGTGGTACATGGGGAAAATTGCCAATTCAGTAACCAATCGAAACGAGTATATTTATGCAAGGTAGGATAAACTGTATATGTCAAGTACTAGGCTCTCTGTACTGGGATTCCATACAGGATCCCTGGTACCAAAGTCTGTCGTAATCGCACGGCTGGATGTCATCGTAACCATCGTAAAATAATATTCAATCGTTCACTATTTCATAGATATACCTATTGGTATTGATTAATAGCACGTATAAAGTAGGAACTGTTAGCGCTTATACTCGTAGAAGACCAAACAAATTGAACATTTATGCATTATTCCGAGATGACATGTTTGTTCATTCTCATTCATTTATTGAATTTCCCCCGTTTGAGATACACATGGAACATTCTCCAGCCCGATGTGATGGAAGGAACTTGTCAACTGTTTGCCATATTTTATGTGCTGATCCTTCGATATTCGATGTTACAACATTTTTATCCTATCTAAAAATATTTCATTGCAACAAAATAAAAAAAATCCAATTTGCATAAAGAAAAGTCATTGTTCACCGGATTTGTTGTAGGCCCCCTACAAATAGTCAAGACTGTCGTTAGAACGTTAAAACTGTTCTTTCTTAACTTTCTCAATGTTGTGCCTACATGTATGTTTTAAAACGCAGTCGTTTTCATACGAAGGCAGGACCCTCCACTTCTAACCTGACTCGCAGTATATCATATACAAACATAGTTTGTCCAGGGGAAGCTCTCGACAAAACAACGCAGGCGCATACGTTTAGGCAGATTTACAGACTTTCTTGTGGACTTTCCAGGCTCTCCTCTGACATGCTTTGCCACAGTAGAACACCAGATGACATTTGGAACATCTCTTACAGTTTTCTGAGATCTTGCCACAGCTGTCACAAACTGCACCAGGCCTGGCGGCTAACGAACCAGAACTCGCTCCACTGACCGGGGAAAATTGCCCTGATGTCCATATGTCGGGAACACCTAAAACAACGACATTTATGAAGAACTGTGGACTATACCTTAGCAACGCACATCTGAGAAGCACCTGTTGCATAAATAGTTCGTAATTCAGCCCATTACTCATTTTCCTATGTACTTACACAGAGAATTAAACATTTTGCCCAAGTCTGCATCACAGTTCAAAGTAAGCAGGTCCGTGTAGGGATACCTCCCTCTCAGGATAGTTCTCGTAATCCATCTCCTGTCCTCAGACTGATCTTGAATCATTCGGTGGGAGTTTACTTCTAGAATCCTCATCAACAAAGCATATCCCTGTCAGAGATAAAGCATACAACGCTGCACAATCATCCATTTGAATCATAAAAGTAATGATGATGATGATGATGATGATGATGATGATGATGATGTGCCGATATAAAATTAAGGTTGTCTAATCAAATATTCCTCAGTAGCGATATGCGATAAGGTTTGTATAGTCACACATTTTCCCTATTGTCCTCACTGCATAATAGAATGATGTGGGTCATTGTTCACAAAATCAATCCCTGGATTGTCTGGTTGAGACTTATTCACAGGCAGCGGGCATGTAGCTGGGCGAGCAAATAGCTGAATATTGCTGAGTGTAGTGTTAAACAACAAAAACAAAAAGAAGAAAATAAGTGCAGAATAGATAAGTTTATATTTGACCACAAGGTTTATGTATATAAAACAGCAAGAATGAAACAACCTGAAATAATCAACCAGATTACAGTACCTCTTGTTGTTCTTATAAGTAATGTTTACCTCGCTAAGGCGTTGAGAAGATGGGTCCATTTCCCCACATGTCTTCTTGATGTCTTCCCAAGGCATGATTTCTTCATTCGTTATTTTCGTTTGGGTAACCAATTCCTCAGCTATGTCAAAATCGAAAAACGTCAAAAATAGAGTTGGTCTGTCCTCGTGGATCTTAAGACCTTCCAAACGAAGCATGTTGCTTGCTCTCTTGGCAGGATGTGAGTGACTTGGAGCTCTGAGTGTGATGTGTGTTGGCACCTATGAAAACAACAAGCAAATGCTCGATTAAAGGTCTAGTATTTAAATTGATATTCAAATGCATATATTGAAGGAAAGATGACTTCTCTTGAGAGACGACAGTATCCTTTTCTCACTTATTATATCTTTTATCCCGTTATAACAATGTATCTTACAGTTAAATCAGTTTTTATTTCACAAACAACTGGCATTTACTGTCAAAATGTTTGAATAGTGTGTACCGTTTATTAACACTTCGTTAATTCACTGTACAGTACACTGTAAGTACTACACTGTACCATGGCTGACTACTAAACTACCGACCCGTGAAGATCCGGGGTAGAATAGGTCTTCAGTAACATAGGCTTGCCGTAAAAGGCGACTATGCTTGTCGTAAGAGATCTAACGAGATCGGGTGGTCAGGCTTGCTGACTTGGTTGATGCATGTCATCGATCCCAATTGCGTGGAATGATGCTCATGATATTAATCACTGGTTTGTCTGGTCCAGCCTTGATTATTTACAGACCGCCGTCATATAGCTGGAATATTGGTGAGTGTGGCGATAAACAACAAACCAACCAACCAACTAAACTACCAAAATG